ACCATCCCATCGAAAATGAAGATGAAGCGGGCGTGCGAAAAAAAAAATATTATACAACAACAACGAATATGATATACGAAACATTCGGGTGTTTAGACGGTGACACTGTACCACTTCCCGTATAGAGATTGCCCAAATGTACATGCAAAATACGCGTAATACATACATTTACGCAAACGCAAGCGTAAACACCCCCCCCCCCCCCCACACACACACCAACACACAAACAGCGCGAAAGTGGAAGTGTAAATAAGCACGCGGGTACGTTTCCATCTGTGGGACCCCGTACATAAATCTAATTATCCTTCCTTCGCCGGGGAAGAGACGACGCCTGCGGCGTTTTAGGGAACGAAGTTGATGCATATCCTCCACGAACTCTGTTTACGGTCGCACATATTTGGACAGGCAAAAGTAACGGGTCACTCGGCGCTTCTTTGCGAGGTTTGGGGGCCAAGCAACTCGCCTTGCATTACGGGAAAGCCCCTTGGCTATTCAAGGAAATGCAACAAAATAATAATTAGAGGGTTGAGGTGCGTTTTGCAGGATGTTTCGAAGCTTGCATTGGGTATATTCTCGCATTCGCTTTCCGAACACGAGCGAAGACACTTCCTGTAAGGAATGTGAAGTGTCGGATATGTTTTTATAAATGTACCCTTATTCATTCTTGTTGTAGTCGCGTTGTGCCTGAAAATCCACTGTTGCATCGTTCCCATATAAAAATGTGAGGACTCTCTACACGCGAGCAAATTCAATTTTCTGGCTGCATAGCCATGGTACTTCGGTGAGTTGAGCGATGCATTGTGAGAAACGCCGCGTGAATGTCCACAACAAATATCTCCTCATTCCTATTTGAATGACCCGGATACTGCGGAGACTTGGCTGTTCGCGTCCGCAACGGGCGAGTCGGCCATTACGCACTACGTTGAGCACGAATGCGGAAATGCGGTGTAGAATCTGTTATCATAGTTTTTGCCATTTCTGAAGTTCTTGACAAAATTAAGTTCACGCATCCAAAAGAAAAAGTAAGGTGTGCAGCTGGTCGAATGTTTGGAAGTATGAAACGAAGGTAGACCTCCTGAATTACACTGCCTCCTACAGCACGCTTTGAGTTGTCGTGCTGTGGAAAAGTTCTCCGAATCTTCCGAGTACCTATCGTAAGGAATCTTTCGTTTGCTGTCAGGTTTACAGACAATTGACACACAGTAGTAATATTTACACTTGCAAACTTATGAAATGCATTTGAATAGTGGTGTGTGCGCTGAAAAATGCGAGATATATCAAAACATATTTAAAGATTTTATGAGGCGTCTATCAAGATGCTACATAAAAACTATGCTTACTGTGTTAGTTTGCTTTATGTTTCAATGGCATCGAAGCACGCAACACGTGTTCGTGAAGCTCAGTTCCCTGCATAAGCTCGAAGAGATCACGGAGATGTGGACCACTGACCCGCTTCCATGGATTACTTGACTGATAATGAGCCCATTCCGAATAATGAATACTTATACACGTATGTCCTGTGCTCCCTCATTGTTGTCTATATTGCGAAAAACCAAGTTACTGTACAACGACACACATCAAGTCTCCTGTAGTAAGGAAATTTACTGTTGTGCAGTAGGGAAATAGACTCTTCTGCTTATAGGGCTCATGTAAACATTGCTCTTTGTCTCCTATCTAATATCTCGGCGGTGAAAACAGGCCGAAATTACCTTTAGAAATACTGAGGAGTTTTGAGGCCTCACAGAGTTCTTATACAGTTGTTTTTGTAAAGATATACCTAGTGACTTTGCTTGAAATTGAACCAGAGGACCCTTTTTTTTTTCAATGTGCACGAGCAACGTTGCGTTGAAAGTTGATGGCTTTTGCTCGATTGGCCACGCGAAAGGAGTAGAAAGATTCGCCCTTTACTTGCAACCTAATCACGGGATCTTTTTTTCCGAAGACAGGTACTCACCGTGCGCAAACTTTGCCCGTACGCTCATGGATCGATATTACGCCATTCGACCAAGCAAACTGCTCGAAGAGCCAGATACCTTTTGGAAACCGGTAGATGACTTTTGCAGCCAACCTGATTCTTGCTTGTGGTCTTTTGCCATGACACGTGCGCTCACTAAATGCCAGCGAAATGTGCGCGTGGAAGACACTACAAAAATATATAAGGAGCTTGGCGTAGACAGAAAAGGAAAAAAAAAAATGCGCGTCGTGTGATTTATGATGTTTACACTGCGCACCTTGACGCTCGCCGTCAGTAAACAGCAATAATGACGTAGAAGTTGAAGATGGTACTTTGGCATCGTGTGCGGCAGGGAAGTGCTTGCATTTCCTCCTCAAAATTTCTTTTAAAAGAAAAAAAATCAAACACACTTTTCTTCTTTTTTCTTCTGTAGAGCCGAGAGGAAACAAGTAGTGGACGTATCCTATGCCTCGTTTTTCGCGCACCAGCTGTCTTAGAGAAGCTCAATAGAATATTGTAAGAGCGTGTTTTAACCCTGTCTTTTTTTTTTGCCATTGATAAATTCTTAACGTGAACAAGAGAAATGGCATGTGTATAATGGTATTGAATGGAATGGAATGGAATGAAAAGAACTTTATTTGAATGGAATGAAAAAAAAAACGCATGTGCATAATCTCAAGTTGTGATCTCTAATCTCTGCAGGACAACGTAAAATTTTGATGAATACTAACAGGCTAACAGTCATTCTTGTTATGTTTTTATTTTTTGATAAATTATTCCGAATTTTTATGTAATCTTTGTAAGTGCCTAAACTGACTTTTTTGTTGAAATTGTTTGTGTCAAATTATCAATCTTTACTATTTTTGACAAAACGACGAACACTTTCAGGGGCTTTGTTACAAAGGAATCTTCATATTTAAAGACTGTTTCTAGTTCTCAGTTTTCTGAATAAAAATATTTTATGACTAAATATGATGTCTTGTCATAACATGAATTAAATATTTACCATTTTGAAAGTTTATGAGCCTAAGCGCACTATGAGCAAAGCAAATTTTATTTACCTATATTGATTTAATTTGTTTGTTTCTTTCCTATTCCAACGTGTGAACACAGATGAATTCGGTGTGACATAAAGAAAGTGCTCTTCAAAAGTTGCATATTTTATAGATTCAAAAAGCTAGTCTTGTGCAATAAATTGTAAAACTGAAATAGGAACGACTGGACACAGTGGAAGCAAGACCGATTTTAATGATCCTTCGTACTAGTGACTAGTAAAGTGTTAAGCTCTCTATCTCTCAACATGAATGTTTCATTCATGTAGAGGGAGCTTCATGAATAAAGCTTTTCATGAATAGAAAGCTTGTTTTAAAGATATTATGGCATCGGTGTCGTTTGTTGTGAGTGAAAAATGATCATCTTGTGCATGATCAACAGTCAGGAAAGATGCAAATAAAATAAACAGTAAAACATTTTAGGTCCGACTGGGTGTTACACCACACAACCACGAATTTGTTTCTTTTTCTTTATGAATCTTCTTTTTCTTTTATGATATTTATTATATTACGCACTTGGAATTGCAACATCGACGTAGTGATACATTCCCTCAGCGACAGCAATCACACAACTAACGCACAAACATTCAGAGGCTTACATACGTATATACTCACCTGCTTGAGGATACAGTGAAGATACCTTCCTCTGATTGGAAATGCACTGAAAGTAACTCTCAAGCTCTAGAAACACACGCGTCCTGTATACGTGATTCACAATACAACGCGAAATATTGCAGTAATAATGCGAAGTACAAGTGCACATTGTCAGAGGGCGAACGAACAGGTGATTATAACAATGACTTCATTGTTTAAAGACAGGCCCCAACTACAAAGGCACGCACGTTACTGCGCCTGTATTTCCTTAAGGCCACGTAGTCGGTGCATAGCAAGTTCGAAAAGATTTCATTCAGTAAGTGTTTGAAGTAGGCACTAGGGACAGCATATCACTACCACGTTCAACTCATAAAGATGAAGCTCAAGTGTCGCCCCCCCCCCCCTCCGGTTTTTTTTTATTTAAACACCGAAACAACTATACAGATATGTTGCGTCGTTGTTTGCACTATGCCCGCGAGGGCTTCGCTGTCCTTCATGGACCACAAACCACTTGTATGTTTAGAATGATAAAGAGCTAAGCTAGCTGGTGTACAGGCCTTCATGTAAGAAGGATTGGCGTGCAAACACGGACACGGCGAAGTCATTACAACGCAATGGCCGGCTAATTAATTCTGTTGGAAGTCAGGGTTTTTGTCATCATTACTTTGATCATTTCCGTCTTTGCATGCCCAGTGTTTCAGCATCGAGGCCTGTTCATACTAATCATATTCCAAGCACGCTATACGTCAAAGTTTCCTGTGCTGCGTTCATCATAACTGTTTGTACTAGCTTATCAGCCTTTTTGGTGTTTTATTGTCAGCTTGTTTGATGGATTGCTGTGTCCGTGGTGAATATTCTGCATCAATGACGTTGCTATAGTTCAGATGTGGAAGCTATTGATCCATACATAGGATGTAGTACTTTCTCTTTCACTGATAGGGCTATTGCGAGTCAAATGTGCATCTGCGTTAAAATTGTGCTGCAAGGGTTTCCTGCAGTGTTGTTGAACGTGCGCCACTCTAGAGAAGTGACGAAAATGAGAGACTGTAAATGTACCCGTTAGTAATTATATCGGTAGTTTTACGTCCCAAAATAAAGATATGATTGTAAGAGATGCCGTATAGTAAAGGGCTCATGAAAATTACACCGCCTAGTGTTTTTTAACGTGCACTGACATCGGGAGTGTACAGCTGCAGCCAGCCTCTGTAGAGGGCTCGAGCAGCCAGTTTTGGTTCTGTAGGATGAGGGGCAGTTCCGGGCTCGGACGTGGTTTCATGAGCATGCGTAACCTAGCAATCAGGCTGACCTCATCAGAGCCCAAAGCTGCCTCTAAGTGTCACCCAGAAGAGCAAAAACTGGCTGCTTGAGCCCTCTACACAGACGTCGGAAGCGTACTCGCCATGGCTGTACTCGTTAGCCCAGGTACGAAAGCACGTTAACGAAAAAAAAAACTTAAGTTGTTGAAAACTTATCCAAACAACCCTTGAGCAAGTCGCTTCATATAGCTAAAAGTGCAAATATTGCTTTGATACAAAACCTCATCTTCATTAAAGCCTTACAATGAAGCTGCAATCGCAATATTCGGCATCCAACACAAACGTGTGCCTTTTTTTTCTGCATGGTACTCACAAAACTGCGCTTGCGGCCGTAAGCTCGAGAAGTTCTTTTACCCTGCGGCCGTTTGTGCAATCTGTGATAATTTAAACGTAATAACCATCGAACAGCCGCAGTTCAAATGTCGTAAGCGTGTCGCTGGGTCTGACTACACAAGCTTCAATATAATAAAGGCCCGGGGGATGACTGCAAATGTGCAAGAAACCCTAAAATGAAGAAAGATGATCAAAAAAAGTTACTTTCAATGTAAAAAAGAAAAACTGCACACCCAGGCTTATGCGCGATGTGGTGAGGAGGGTGCACACCCACAAGGCAAACACTGAAGTGAAGATGTGGACAGAGGCAGATGTAATTTAGGCAGCGGAACCCTTCATAGTACGTAGCACCAATTTCCAAAACGCTATTAATTAAAAGACAGCCCCCCCCGCGACTGCCACTCAATTTATTGATCGCCTGTGCTGTACACCGGACAGCTTTTTCTACTTTGTTACTGAGAGGCAATTCTTTGCTTTCGCTTAAGTTTGCGCATCTGGTAGTTAGCAGAAATATTTGTTGCATACCTTCTTTCGTAGATTTCTATCTTTTTCGTTATCAGCTCTCTGACAATATTGACGATTAAGTCACGCAGGTTAAAAGACTGAAAAAATCGCGCTTTCTTTTTTTGCTGCACTGAAGCAATGAGTTCCACTGAAAATCATTTGGTAATGTGATGTCGAATCAATGTGCACTATCACAAAAAAGAAAAAAAAAAGCTGCGGGAAATTGTAAAGATATAATTATATATATTTGCAAACGGCCAATTTGGTGGACCGGGGACCAAACTCCAAACCGAGACCGAAAGCACAAGGCAACGCCAGCAGCCGGTTTTTCTTGTGGTGTGTTGCTGTGAAATGACGGGTGTGAATTATTCCGTTCGTAACCTAAGCAGGGGCAGTTGAGCTAGTATTTGGAAATTCATATTTGAAGAAAGCGCGAAAATAACATCACATGGAGACACGAAGGGGACATGACGATGCGCTACTAGCCACTGAAGTTTAATCAAATGCGTAGAATGTTATACATACAAAGCCCACAAAAATAACAAGAGGAAGGACTCAAACGACAAAATATCACTTAGTCTGCATCAATAAAGCCTGATGATTTTGTTTTGTTTTTGGTCATATGCATTTTAATCAATCATTGCTTGATTCTTTATTTGTTATTTTTTTACCGTGTGGCTATATATATCCATGTTTTTCAATGAAGTATAGTGGTAGCACGTCATCCTGGCCCTACTGTTTCCCAGTGTTGTGGCCTTTTCTGCGTTTTCTTAAAATATGATTTGGTAACCCTTCCTAAATTTACGAAATTTACACCACTAATTTGCCATATGTTGCATTTTATATTCCCTTCTGATATTGAAATATAGCTTATCTTCCTTCACCAAACTTTTTATAAACACAACGCCAACAACAGTACCAACCACCACCAAGCAACAAAGGTCCAGCAACGGTGGCAATGAAAACGACAGTCCCGTAATGCCATGACAAACGATTAGCTGAATAAGCGCTCCTTTTAAAGAACCCTAAATCACCTCCGATATTTCTTTAAACATGTCAAGTAAACACGCACATCGTGTGCAGAATGCCGTCGCGATCAACGATTTTACGCGCAGCAGCGCTATGAGCCGACGCCACACCACAGATTCCAAAAAAAAAAAAAAAATCCCTCCTTCTCTTTGCGTTTTTTTCGGGCCTGCGCGTGACGTGCAGTACGAATATGGTGTTATTGGTCGATAAAAAAAAAAAAACCTATGACTTCCGGTTAGTCTGCAAGCAGCTGTCCGCACTGCTTGTTGTTCGTCGTGTGTGCCTGCGTGTGTGCGCCCGCTCGCGAATCAGCTACTGCGGCCCGTAACGCAACTGCGCGAACTAAATCCGAGTGTTTTGCGATGGCTTACATTCATCCGTGCGCGGTGATTGGCTGCAAAAGCGCTGACTGGGAAAAAAAAATTGTCAGATCCCACGTACCTTGGAAACTGAAGTCATGCAGATAATGCGGAGGGAAGGTGACCATGTTGAAATCTTTTATTGAGGGACACGTCATGAAAAGACTCTAAATATGTGCATAAGTGTTTCACGCATGTACAGGTGCTGAATAGTTGCAGGTGTTTATATAACCAGTTCTTTACACTTGAGCAACGATGAGAACCGAGAAACATAAGTATTAGCAACCCCAAAACCAATAAGCTGTTATGAAGCGCTGGTGCTCGCGAGGATAGTAGCCCTAGACCGTGCACTCCTACATAAATAAACTTCGGTGCATGGCAGCTAACTACAATTGACGTTAGCCTGACGTGACGGCTGTATCATACCAGCGTATACGTAATGTTTAAAAAGTTGGATAGCCAGCAATGCAACCACAATTGACGTTTCACGAACACTGCAGTGTGGTCTATTCGAAAAGCAGTTCCGAGGCTTGGCGTGGCTCTGTGGTAGAATGCTTGATTGCAACGAAGAATGCTCGAGTTCAATTCCTGCTGTGACCCTGACAATTATTCTTTGCATTTGTCGAGTCAACGCTGCCGATGCCAGGTCTTTCTTTACGCTCACGCGTTAAAACTGTCCAAGTCTGTTCTCGTTGTTCCTTGGTAGACACTAAGTGTCAGTCACCTGTGGCACATACCCACATACTAGTGGCGCATACCGCCCGCGGGTATGTGCCACTTCTGGAAGGAAGTGTTTGACGGCCTTAGGATTGTTACATTATCCATGTCTTAAACAGCGCGTCATATTCGTCAGTCCAGGTTACTCTCCCATACTGATTTTCTTTCATGCCAAGCTAAGCGGGTGATCACGAGGGCACCCAGATAGATAGATAGATAGATAGATAGACAGATAGATAGATAGATAGATAGATAGATAGATAGATAGATAGATAGATAGATAGATAGATAGATAGATAGATAGATAGATAGATAGATAGATAGATAGATAGATAGATGCCAAAAGCGCTTGCAGTTCGCAAAGAAATGCTTCGAATTTAAAACGAAACGATGCGACCCTTGTTGCCTATGCGTACCACCATACGAATTCATCGTGTTGGCGATCCTTTGAAGACGTGCGCGCAACACAAGGTCCATAATAGCACTATTCGTAAAAGCACGGGCCGGCACGGCAGCCACTGTTGGAGTCGCGGCAACGGGAAGTTGACGGTGTTTCGAGCAGCGCGTCAGCCATGACGTATACCACGCAAAATTGCGAGGGGCGCTCAGTGAGAAAGCAAAGCGGCTTTGGGAGAGGATGCCATGGAGGCTAGCGAAGGAGAGAGTGACAGAAGAGAATTTCGACCTCTGGATGGTTTAGGAGCTCTTTAAAGCGCATCGTACGGCCCCTTCAAAGTTCTCTTGTACCGGTGCCGCATGGGCAACTTCGATGGTGGTCGAATGAGATGCACGTCAATTTTCTTGAGTGACTTGCCTGTGTACGCATTATGCGTGAAGGAGTAAATCATTGTTTGAAAGTATCATTCCGATCGGTCTTAATGACGATTCCCAATGCACCACGTGGCACCCGTGTTACATGTTCTGCAGGCTTATCTCTCCTCCTTTCTTTCTATTAAATGGTGTCTCCTCTTTATATTTAGGTGCATTACTGTAGAGCGAAAAAAGTAACAACGCTAACAAACACAATTAATTACGGTTGCACTTCATACGTGTCGAATTTCTTGATCGTAATTGGCTCCTTGGCACAAGCTACACAAACGACTAAAGAACAATAGAGAAATTTTATCACGATATCGCTTAATTGTTATCAGCAGTATGTCAAGTGACCCTCCTATAGCGCGCTTGTTGTTTTGATCCCGGGCGACAGGCAACACCGCCCTTCTGGAGATTACTTCTGTGGTTGGAAGTGACGCTTGGCTGCCCTGCAACGTCACGCCAACGGCTGGCAAGGAGCGTCCTGTAGCGCTCGTGCTGTGGTACAAGGACAACGCTTCGACGCCCGTCTACACGGTGGACGCCCGGTGGGGAAGCCTGCTGCAGGGGGCGCGGCACTTTCCTGGAGAGGAGGAGTTGGCCGACCGTCTCAGCTTCGACGGAGCCCACCAGCCGGCGTTGCTTCGAGTGTCACACGTGGAGCCCGAGGATGCCGGCATGTACCGCTGCCGTGTGGACTATCGCCAGGCTCGCACCGCGGTCACACTGTCCCTGCTGCATGTCATAGGTGAGTGAGTGAGTGAGTGAGTTGTGGTTGCCATACCAGCGAAAATCAAAGGCGGCAATTTGTGTGGCAACTATGGGGCTGGTCATAGTTGTAGTGGCGATTATGCTGATGATGATGGGGCTATTTACTTCTTCAAATATAAATAGCCAACAATATGGTAGTAAATCTTGGCTCTTGACGGCTGCCCATTTTCGCTTAATGAAGTGTTTTAGCAGTTCCGATGCTTCACCATTCGCAGATATGTTTGGCTAATGAAAGTTGCCGGACGATCTTAGCGGCGTCTTGTGACGAGCAGCCTCAACATAGTTATATACACGTTCCATCGAATTCGACGGGCGTTGTTTCCGAAAAGGAAATTTAAGAAAATAACGAGTTCATCGTTGTACAGCTGTTAGTACTTTGCACTGGTAGCTAAGTTAAAACACATTGTTACTGTTATTACAAGAGGAGTTCTGTTATGGTAATCTTCCGACATTCTTGAAAAATAACAGTAACGCTTTGGCGTTATTTGGAACTGCGACTTCGTAAAGTCATGAACCTAAAATCTTACATACAATGAAATATCTCTCGCTAAGGTGATCTAACGAGTGCGAAGCTAGAGTGCTTCTTCTTCAAAAGGTAGCACAGCACGTGTTCGAAATCTCCTGAGCGCCATCGTTGTTTCACTATAGGTGCCAGCCCTATTGAATTGAGACGAATATTTGTGTCTTGAAGAAACGTTGAGGCGTAGTCTGCATGTTGTCTGCATATCAGTGTATCTTCAGATTGGCAAGAACCAATAATCGAACAAAGTTGCGAATGATGGGCCAAGACAAGAGGTAAACGTTGAGCTGATTAATGCCAGTGATCTGTGGCTTCAGCAAGGTGACAGGTAACAGCAAGTCGTATAACATTTCCCGTAGACGCAAATAGTGCTAATAACTTCCCTTCATTACAGTCATTATAATTTAGTTCAGGCGCACAGTAGGGCTTTCTGCTAAAACTGTAAATAGTGGAACGTCTACCCAACATGTCAAAAACTTCTGTCCATGGCTGTTACCTGGCAGATTGGAAAGGAGGGGGGGGGGGACTAGAAGCTTGGTAAGTAAGTTATTTACGAGCCAAACATTTGCTTAAAAAAATAAAGCTGGCAGGTTCTGTGGATGACAGGCAGGCTTGACGTTTGTAGACCCGAACGTAAATGACTTCACGTGTCATCACGCTCTTGATGTATAGCTTGCGGTTAATGCGAAGAAAAAAAAAACACCTAACAACATCCGCCGCAGGCGCGCAAACAGTTTAACACGATCAGCTTCAGATGGCGGCAGGACGCAGATAATGATTTAAAACAAAAAAATGACATAAATTAATAGAAAGCTTGTGACCTTCACTGTTTACTACTTTGCTTCGGAGAAAGCTGATAAAGAGAGGTAATTCAGAGAGAAAGACAAAAAAAAACATTGCACCCTCCAGAACAAGTGCTACGGACGTTCACATGCACACTTAACGTTTTAATAAAGTGCCAAGAATTTCTGTATATAGCATCGAGGGTCAATGTTTGTTTCTTGTACACATGCCCTGTGTTAACGTCAGTGCTTATGTGGGAAGTGGGAAGATAATACTCAAGAGCAGTCAGAAAATAATATTACGCTAGGTATTTCATTGGTTAAAGTATTTTGGGCCATTCTGATGATCAAACGTCTTTCTCAAATAATTGTTTCCAAGTTTCTGTAGCCACATTACGGAACGCTTTACACGTCTGTCTTGCAGTGCCTCCGCGAGCCGTAATAGTGTTGGACGAGCACGGACAGAGGCAGGTGGACGTGCTGGGACCATACAACGAAGGAGCGACTGTGATGCTCGTCTGCGAAGTGGAAGGCGGTGAGCTGGGCAGCGCCGACGAAGTTGCTTGCACGGGCTATGGGCGTTGTGCTGGGAATCCAAAAATCAACGGGGCGAGTGAAACCCGTTAGAAGGCGTGATTCAAAAAAAATTTTTTTCATTCAGCCAGCCATTTATGCATTTTCGGTTTGGGAATAATGACAACTCTAGAAATCATTGGTATATATTTAATTTTAACTACGCGCCGTCTTCTTCTTGGCTTGTGTAGACAGGGTGAGCTTTCATCGCGACGGCTTTGAATTATTTATTCAGCACAAATCGTCGTGCATTTCTGACATCCTGTTGCAAATGAACACCAAAATGATCCACTATTAGAATGCTTATTGACCCTTTTGAAATAAGGTCAAATACTTAAAATATTATGTATTCTTCATGATTAATCAGTAAAAAAAAACTAGATAGATATAGGCGAAAAAAATTCATAGAGGTTATTCAGATTGCACCCAGTTTGCTACCCTACACAGGGTAAGGTGCAATTAAAGTCACAACCGAATTTAACCGGAAAGCTGAAAGTTTATTCAGTAGTCGGTATAATCAGTTGATAAAAGCACAGGTAGCTTTTTACTTGGCATCATAAAACAGATGGCAAGAGTGAAAGCGTGCTTGCACTGTCCTGTGACAAATTGATTGAGTCGCAAATTTGAAAAACATGCAACGTTGTGCTAACGCTTAATTCCAGAAGATGGTAAATAGAAAGCGATCAAAACGTTTTTCATTTGCACTACGCAGGTGATCCTCCACCCGAAGCGCTTTGGTTCCGGGATGGGGAGCTTGTGGATACCAGTTTTTCGGTGCTGCGACCCCAGGGTGTGGTTCGCAACGAGCTGCGGCTGGGTCCACTACGACGCCGAGACCTCCTCGCCGAAGTTGTGTGCAGTGCGTCCAACACAAACCTCACGGAACCACTGACGAGCAGCCTCAGGCTTGACTTGAACCGTGAGTTCTGGCGACGAGAAATGCTCAAGTGTGATGCCTTTGGACTTATTACTTGTGCAGTGTACTACTTCCTGGCAGAAGCATGAAACTAATGCGTGAGACAAACTTCGCACCTTCGCATTGCTTGCGTCACAATTCCATGTTGTGCCATACGTATCGTACGTGTCAGCATCCACCCTCCGCTTGATGGGTAGCATGAAATGTTTGATGACGACGAAATGCGTTCCATTATTGTATGTTTTTTTTATTTTCTTGTGTTTGTTGATATCCAATCCCTGTACAAAAACAGTTCGCAGACTCTGAGGTGAGAACAAACCCAGGTTAGCTACCCGAAAGCTTGTATACGCTACTCTGGTTGAATGACTAATGAAAAAGAGAAGTGGAAGTAATGGCGGAAAAAGTAAACATTTGTAAAAAGCTAATTGAGGCCATGGAAAGCGCCTTAATTACAATCTCTTGTCACCGAAGTTTAACATCATGGAGCTGCAGATGAAGTCATTACAGACGCCACATGTTTTGCATGCGAAGCGTCTTATGGTCGAGCTCAATCCGGTGTGCGGCATGACCACCCCTACTTCACATGCGCGTCTTCTCCCCCTCTCTCGCCTCTGAACGCCGATGCAGGCAGCGTCTGCTAGTCTACAGTCGCTCCGCTCTCTATCCTCTAGGCATTCCTCCCCGCAGCTATTAGACCTCCATTGCACATGCGCGTCCTCTCCCTTTTTCTCACCTCTCCTACGCTCACCCTCCTCTCTCGCTTCGGAATGCCGACGAAGGCAGCGTCTTCTAGGGAGTTTCTTGGTTGAAAAAACCAACTGCTCAGGCTGCACAACCTTCCATTAGCCACCCCGTATCGATAGCCTCTGGATCTTGACCTTCAAGGTAGTGCCCGTGACATCTTTTTCCTGTGCGTTGCTGAAAAGTAAAATATCACAGCATACGCGTTAACTAAAAGCGGACTGCTGGTTTCTCTGTCCGATCAGAGTATTCTGCCTGTCGTTGCCCGTTAGGAGCGATTGGCATGTTCCAGTAGGAAACACCGGTCCATCAGTGCGTGGTTCGTGCCTCCCCAGGTTTCTCCCTTGCGCAACGCCGCGATGAGCGCCAGCGTCAATGCCACCGCCAGAGTAAGCGTTAGCATCCACTGCTTTGCATCTACATATGGTTTCCTTTAGTGGCAGATGGTGTAATCTTTCTTTAATTACCAACAGTTTTCTATGTCAACACGCAGTGTAGCACACGAGCTCCTTTACTTTCATGTGAGCCCGGATCGGCTGACAGTTCGACTTTCACTTTTGTGAGTTCAGCGCAAAAAAGATAAGAACAGGAGGAAAAAAAAATTTGTTTACTAGCCAAAGGCCATGAACACTCATCCTGTGCTACTAATTAGTGCTCTCCAATTACCCTAAATGTAAACACGTGAGGAACTTTACCATTCCCAGTAAAGCCGACCGAGGTGAAGGTGACACTGCCAGCGCTGTCCCTCTCCAAGTCCGGTGACTTCACCCTTGTGGCCGACGAAGTGGCCGAGGCACAGTGTCTCGCCGTGGGAGCGCGGCCGCTGGCACAGGTCGCGTGGTTCAAAGGTGGCCACCGTTTGCTGCACGACCGGCTGGTGTCGCAGGACGCCGGCTCGACGCTGAGCGCCATCAGCTTCGTGGTGCGCCCCGAGGACCACGGTGCCGTGCTGACGTGCCGCGCCGACAATCCGAGCCTGCCCGGCAGTGAGATCAGCGACTCACTGATGCTCGACGTCCAGTGTCAGTGCTTTTTTCAATGTTCGTTCGGAAAAGTTATTTCATTAACGCCCTTCTGTACAGAGGGTACGAGGTATCCGTAACAGTCTGTTTACGATTGGTGGATGCACATCAGTGATGGTTAATTAAACATGTCAGTACAACTTCTTGCTAGCTATTACTTTGCGGTAGTTACTGTATCGTATAATTATCAATTTAAGAATCAACACCACGATAATGCAAATATTACGAAATAAAAAGTACTAGTTTTAACAAAAGTACATATTTACAACTGAGCCTATACAAGTTTCTTGGGAAGACAACGTGCTGTGATATAAATATGTTGAAAAAAAATGAGCATTAGGAAAACTTTCAGTAAGCTGATATATCTGATCATATTCCACGTCGCGCTTCATACCTAAAATACAAAGATTCAGAACATCTTCGATGAAGCTGGTCAAGCGCGCCCAAACGAAAGTTTCTGAAATTTCTCAGCTGCTCAGCATATATAATGACAGGTTCTTGCAGCTTCAAGTGTGAATGCTGTGTGGCAGCTTGGGCTAGCTGGTATGACATGACAATAGTTATAGTGCGAGAACAGAACGACGACAAAGAGACAAGAAGGACACGAAGGACACGAGCACTCGTGTCCTTTGCGTCATTCTTGTCTCTTTGTCGTCGTTCTGTTCTCGCGCTAAAACTATCGTGAATGCTGTATTCTATCGAAGCATAACTTTTTAGAACATCGGTATATGAAGAGAACAAAACTAATTTTATATGTCGATAGAACTCGCATCTGAAAGACGCCACTCTGGCAGGGTCGACATATCCAAACGCGCGCACGACCATTTTCATTTCTGTATATACAGTTCGGTAGTAGGACGCTTATGCTAAACCTCGGGGTCAGAATTCCTACCGTGACCTCTACATGAACATATCATTGCTTTAGTCAACTATATATCGCAGTTCTCATGGCTGGTATAAAGAGGATCACCTTCACTATTGAACACAAGTTTTCATTTATTATCCGCCAGCGTACAGTCTTCGCTTACCGCGAGGATAGTGATATCACATCTTCGCATGAGCAGTGTGAATCTAGTAGGTGGATGTCGGGACTACTCATGTAAATTCTAAAGGAGGTTAAAATAGTCTATAATTATGAGTAACTGGCATACTAGCTGCAGCGTGCTTTGTCGGTGAGGGGTGGAAGGGGGGCCAAAAGCACAATGGCTTTCAAGACGCTTGTGTATACTGTACCGCCATTCTATACGCTCGTCTTTGTTTATACGTATTCGCTGTGGTTTTACACGATTTAAAACATTTTAAAAACTTCCCGAAAGATGCAATTGCTGGTATATGATGCAAGCCTACACTGCGCCTGCATTCAACACCCTCCTTCATCTCTTCTTTATTCATGTAAAGCCAGAAAAAAAATTATTCCTGTAAAATGCGCTTTTCTTGCACTTTGCTGTATTCGTTTCGTCTGTATTGTATTAGGCTTGCGAATATAGTAAAAAGAGACCCCTGAGTTGGTAGCTAAGAAGCTAAAAACACATATATGTTGTTCATGAGTAGCTCATGGCGTGGGCGAACGAAAGGGTCCCAGCTGCTGCGTTGCTTCAAATTGTTATTCACTGTGGGCACAGCACACAATAATATCTTTTCGGTGCAATATTTTTTCCCCATAACGTAAAGGAATTAACAGAAAGATAGTTTTACTTCGATTATATTACAAGGCGTGCACCGGCATCTTGCCCGCCTTTGCACAAGGCGGAGCTCTAGCTCTAAAGAACGCAAATTCAATTTTCCTATGAAAGAAGCGTTTCAATAACCTGAAACAATTAGTTATTATACTTAAGAGCTAACGCACAGATTTTTGTTGCATGGCGATGCACCGCAGGGGTGCCTGCGCAAGTAGGCGTTTGGTGTGTAGCGACACCACGAACCCGAGCTAACGGGGGAGTTTCGACTCCCTCCCACGCCTAGCCGTGCGTGGCTTTGCCGTGTCCGAGGACAAGGGGATCCTGGGGGTTGAGCCGACGCTGGGTGATTGGACCGTTAAGGCCCCCCGGCAGAGGCAACACACCCCTTTGGCCCCGGCTTCACGTAGACGGCACCCCTGAGCTGACCCACCCAGGGGAATCGGCAGTCGCCTTTTCCTATCTCTATCTCTCTACATCTTCGTCTTTATCTCTTACTATTTCTCTGTCCTGTCTTCTACTCTCTTCCGTTTACTTCCAAACTTCCTGGCGGCTAGGGTTAACCCTGTGCAAATAGCCTACCTTGGTCTAGGCGCATTGGGTTATAGTGGCGTTGTACGGCTGGCGTCTGCAGGTTTCAGCATTTGTAAACTTGTAGCGTCCCCTCGTTGGGCTCCGTGGTGGGTGGCCGCCAACGCTGCTGAACAACAATAAGGGAGACATGCATGGAGCATTCCCACTACTGTCTGATCGTACCGGCTTAAAGCCGGTACGCACCGATGATCTCACCAGAGAAGGATTGGGCACCCTGGTGAAGTATCTGGCCACCCCCTCCCGTAGGCATTCGTCAATTAACTCACGGCCCTCAGTCCCCACCAGCTGCGGAGCAACTGACCACGGCGGCGGTCAGATCTGCAAAGCAGCACAGGGTGCTAGGAATCTCTGGATACGGACAGGCCACCATTGGAACTTGAACTTAGCAACGTTTAACGTTAGAACGTTATCTAGTGAGGGAAGTCTAGCTGTATTATTCGAGGAGCTAGAAGACATTAAATGGGATATAATAGGGCTGAGTGAGGTTAGGAGGACAGATGAGGCCTATACTGTGCTACAGAATGGGCACGTCATTTGCTATCGGGGCTTGGCAGACAGAAGAGAACTGGGAGTAGGGTTCCTAATTCACAGAAACATAGCTGGCAACATAGAAGATTACTATAGCATTAATGAAAGGGTGGTAGGCATTGTAATTAAACTGAATAAAAGATACAAAATGAAGGTAGTACAGGCTTACGCGCCTACATCCAGCCATGATGACGCTTCAGTTGAAAGCTTCTATGAAGACGTGGAATCGGCATTGAGTAAGGTGAAAACACAGTATACTATAGTAATGGGAGACTTTCATGCAAAGGTAGGGAAGAAGCAGGCTGGAGACCAGGCAGTAGGAGATTATGACATCGGCACTAGAAACGCCAGAGGAGAGCTACTAGTAGAATTCGCAGAACGCAATAATCTGCGTATTTTGAATACCTTCTACCGAAAACGAGAAAACCGCAAGTGGACATGGAGGAGCCCTAATGGCGTAAATAAGAACGAAATAGACTTTATAATGACTGCACACCCAGGAGTCGTGCAGGATGTGGAAGTGGTTGGCAAGGTAAGATGCAGTGACCATAGAATGGTACGGGCTCGAATCCGCCTAGACTTGAAGAAGGAACGACAGAAACTGATACGCAAGAAGCCAATCAATGAGCTAGCACTGAGAGGGAAAGTACAGGAATTCATAGTGTCACTGCAGAACAGGTACTCTGCTCTTAGCGAGGAAACCAACCTTAGCGTAGATACAATGAATGATAATCTGACGAGTATCATCACGGAGTGTGCAGTGGAAGTTGGAGGCAGGGTAGCCAGACAGGACACCGGCAAGCTTTCCCTGGAAACGAAGAACCTAATTAAGAAGCGTCAAATCATGAAAGTGTCAAGTACAACAGACAAAATAGAACTGGCAGAGCTTTCGAAGTTGATTAATAGACGTAAAGTATGCGATGTAAGAAGGTATAACATGGAGAGAATTGAGCACGCTCTGAAAAACGGAGGAAGCGTCAAAGCAGTGAAGAGGAAACTTGGGATAGGCAAAAGGCGGATGTATGCACTAAGGGACAAAGAAGGCAAAATAACTACCAATATGGATAGGATAGTTAAAATAGCGGAGGAGTTTTACAGAGATATGTACAGTAGCCGAGACAACCACGACCTTAATACTATAAGAACTAGCAGTAACCCAGACGACACCCCACCGGTAATGATAGAAGAAGTCAGAAAAGCTTTGGAGAGCATGCACAGAGGCAAAGCTGCTGGTGAGGATCGGGTAACATCAGATCTGCTGAAAGATGGAGCACAGATTGTGTTAGAAAAACTAGCCACTCTAATTACGAGGTGTCTCCTGACGGGAAAAGTACCAGAGTCTTGGAAGAACGCTAACATCATCTTAATACATAAGAAAGGAGATGACAAGGACTTAAAGAATTACAGGCCGATCAGCTTGCTCTCTGTAGTATACAAGCTATTTACAAAGGTAATTGCTAGCAGAGTAAAGAAAACATTAGAATTCAATCAACCAAAGGAACAAGCAGGATTTAGAACAGGCTACTCAACAATTGACCACATTCATACTATCAATCAGTTAATAGAGAAATGCTCAGAGTATAACCAACCACTATACATAGCCTTCATAGATTACGAGAAGGCGTTTGATTCAGTAGAAATATCAGCCGTCATGCAGACACTGCGGAATCAGGGCGTAGATGAAGTATATATAAACATTCTGGAAGAAATCTACAGGGGATCAACTGCTATCATAGTGCTTCATAAAGCAAGCAACAGAATACCAATAAAGAAGGGTGTAAGGCAGGGGGACACAATCTCCCCAATGCTATTCACTGCGTGCTTACAGGGCGTTTTCAGAAGCCTAGAATGGGAACAGTTAGGGAATAAGAGTTAATGGAGAGTACCTCAGTAACCTGCGCTTCGCCGATGACATTGCATTGCTGAGTAACTCAGGGGACGAATTGCAACTCATGATTACGGAGTTAGACAGGGAGAGCAGAAAGGTGGGTCTTAAAATTAATCTGCAGAAAACGAAAGTAATGTACAACAACCTCGGAAAGGAACAGCGCTTTGCGATAGGTAATAGTGCACCACTTGAAGTTGTAAAAGACTATGTCTACTTAGGGCAGGTAATAACCACAGAGCCTAACCACGAGATTGAAGTAACTAGAAGAATAAGAATGGGGTGGAGCACATTCGGAGGCACTCTCAAATTATGACAAGTAGATTGCCACTGTCCCTCAAGAGGAAGGTATATAACAGCTGTATCTTGCCGGTACTTAGCTACGGAGCAGAAGCCTGGAGACTCACAAAGAGGGTTCAACTTAAATTGAGGACGACGCAGCGAGCAATGGAAAGAAAAATGGTAGGTGTAACCTTAAGAGACAAGAAGAGAGCAGAGTGGATTAGGGGACAAACGGGAGTTAAGGATATCATAGCTGCAATAAAGAAGAGGAAATGGACATGGGCCGGGCATGTAGCACGTAGACAGGATAACCGCTGGTCATTAAGGGTCACCAACTGGATTCCCAGAGAAGGGAAGTGGGGTAGGGGGAGACAGAAGGTTAGGTGGGCAGATGAGATTAAGAAGTTTGCGGGTATAAATTGGCAACAGCAAGCACAGGACCGGGTTAACTGGCGGAACATGGGAGAGGCCTTTGTCCTGCCGTGGACGTAGACAGGCTGATGATGATGATGATGATGATGATGATGATGATGATGTTTCAACGCATAGTCAACGTATGGAATGCCGGATAAAATAGAATACTTGAGGGTAGTCTCTTCTCTGTGGCTTGTCCTAGCAAAGTGCTATTAATTGCAGCGAGTAAATAATGTAATTACTAATTATCAAGGCGACAAAACTTCATAGCATCTAAAGCCTCTGGTCGCAAACCGAAGGTCTGAGTGCTGCTTGGGAGGCCTGTGGTAGAAGGTTAGCTGGTTCAACAAAATTGACTTCACGGTCTCAAAACAAGAGCTTTTAGGTAGGACATATTAAAGGTCGTTGTGAGAGACCTTAGGCGAACATAAAACAGGATGAAAATGATAATTATGAGTGCTGCGTAGTTAATTAAACGCACGTGTGTACAGAAAAGGTATCTCAACGCCTGCTTTTCGAGACGATGTGCGTATGTTTTTAGCCGCACTCACGAAAATTGGCGAAAGGGTGCTCTGACAAGAATTACAGCTGCGAGTTTTCGTTTCCTGAAGCTCCCGAGCTAACGCCACAGCACGCGCCCGCATTTTGGGAGCATTACCGTGCTGCGCCATACGCACAACATGTATTGGCATCAGGTTGGAGCTTGCCTATGTTTACATTACAACGAGAAAGGTTGTTTTTGCGAACTTTTTATATGTTTATTTACAATACGCACTAACCATTTCAAGAAGCACCTTGTAGTGGGCTTTTCCCAAGTGCTTCTCAAAAGACTGTGCTCAGCTGAAACGTCTTGGAGTTAAACATCAAGTGTGCTGGTTTTGTGATCCCCAATAAGCTTCATACGAGTGTATACGGCAATCAATTTTTCTTCCGTAATATTGCTCAAATGTGATACGTGTTCCTAATAAAGGTTATTGAGAGTTACTGCATATAGTATAACCATGCAGCTCTTTTTTTTCATTTTTCACGTATTCGGGTTTCACTCGAAAAGACTGTTACCAACACACGACACAGACTGCACCGCTGGGTTTGAGAAGCTTGGTGATTGTTTGAGGTCAATCTATGAAGATTGTCAAGCTGGACACAAACAGTTAAGTTTATCAAAGAGATTACAAGAGCACCTGTGATAATACTGGACAAAATGATGGCAGATGTGTAGAAGGCGACGCGTTGCATCGATGAACAGATTACCAACTGGCGACGCCCTATACGTCGCTATAAGTGTAGAGCGTGAGTTGTTAGTACCTTGCATTTTCAATATCCTGGCAAAAGCTCACCCTAATGAAAAGTTTAGTCTTGAACACACCGATTACTGCCTTCGTCAACGTCACGACCCCGTGATAGTATTAACTAGCAAACAATATTTCACTTCGTACAGTCAGCGTAAAAAGTTCAAAGGCCACTATGTCCCAGAGAATTTCAAATTTCTCATCATGTTTTGGCTGTAATTGGTTCAACGGCACAGTGCACCTTTTTAGTGCGGTTTAGAATGGGCAAGAAGTCTAATAAATTAAAGAAGGCATATCGAGGCAGCGGGAATAAAGAATTTTCGATTGCGTCTCATGGTCACCAAAATTTCGCCGCAGACTGTACATATGGTGGACCGCATTGTTGCGCAGATCCGCCAAGGATGTCGCTCACAGCCTCCGACCGAAGACCACGGGAGGGTGACAACGTCACCATGCGCTGTGACTGGAGCGCCAACCCCGCTGTAACCGCCATCTGGTGGCGTCACGATGGCCGCCTGTTGGAGTGGCGTGATGAGTTTGTCGACCTGGTGAATGTGACGAGGGCGCAGTCTGGACTGTACGAGTGTCTGGCCTCGAATCGTCTGGGTGAAGGATACAGCAACCAAATTCGCCTTTCCGTGCTGTGTAAGTTTTGATAACGACCTCTAATACGACAGAGCAGCGCAATAAAAAAAAGACGAGACAGGGAATGAACAGTGCACAAAATGCTTCATCTTGTCTTATCGCAGTCCCGTTCTTTGTAGTGTTCTGTCGTAATCCTCATTAACCACCTAACCCGCCTTAGTGCCTTTGCATTAAAATGCAGCGTTAGAGGAGAAGAGGTGGCGGTGGTGTTGGCTTGCGCAGAAGAGCCTTAGATCTGCTTGCCGATAGCCTAAAGAAAAAGGTGTGGGGTGGGGCGCTTTTGAGAAGTTTCGATCACCGTACCGTAATGGAGGTCCCTGCGCTCAACTACACTTGTAAACATTATGCCAGCTAATCGTTCTTTATATCTCGTGCCAAGGCCTTCTGGCTCTTGGAGACGATTTGCACGGATGCATCTAACAGTTACCTGAAAAAAAAAAAAGAAAGAACGTACTCATTCTCAATGTTTGTCTAAGCTATGCCAGAAGCCATTTTGCGTTATCATTTTGTTCACTACAGCCGATCGAATGGAGTATGACCGAGCGTCCATTTGCTTATTTGAACTTTTAGCTCAATGAACTGCGTGCGTCGGAAGACATTCTAACCATCCACGAGCTAGTCGCAACGTGCACTAAAGTGGTTTTGTGCCACTACACCCTGCTGGATCGCTTAACCAAAGTCTCCTTGTCTGATTTCTGTGGGGAATCTGGGATAGGTACGTTTTTATCACGCTGCAGATCCAGGTTCTATTTCTTGTATGGTCTTGATTTTCGATTTCTTCTCTCACTGTGGCGTCATCGTTCCGGGTCTGTTAGTCAGCAGGGCTATGGCGGCCGGAGGTAGCCAAGCACATTTTACGTACTGTGTACTCGTGGGTTTTGGTATCCATACAATACAAATCAAGTTTGTAGCCCACGTGTTCGTATTATGCCCATATGGTACTCATATAATGCTCCATCTTGTCATAGGGTGCATTTAACAACTAAACGAACAGTTCCGCTGTAGAACCACAAATGCTTAGTTTTGTGCATTCGCCGTGCCATGACCTTATTAATTTACGTCACTATGCACAAAATTGCGAAAACGTTTGTCTTACAGTCCAACTCTGCGGTGACCATACACGTGACGCAAATCGGTGTTGACATTCAGTGATTTAGTAGCCGTAAAAATGACCTTTTTTAAATTTTGTTTCTGAAGAGTATTGTGCGTATAACGAACCAGTAAAAAGTGTAACGTGGTTTCGCGGTTGATCATAGCGTCAGGCACCAGCGCACCTTCCCCGGTGACATCAGGGACTTGTGCATAGTGTATACGTATCCGCCATTTATGTTTTCTGATCATTCAAAAAAAGAAAACTGTCAAGACGAGCTTCGCTTGGCCACCAAGTTCGGCTTGGTGGTCCATACGTGGGACTATGGCTAGCTGTGTGGTGCGGCGTCTCCATTGCGCGTGTACTCTGGACCAAAACGAAGGTAATTACAACGACAATAACAACCCCCGAACAAAACCCAATATTCGAAAAGGGGGCTGAAAAATTTCTTCGCTTAGATGAATTACTTTGATTTTCTATGTTTCCATAATGACGTCGCATAAGTGTATATTAAAGGGTGAATCAAGTGAAACGACCACTGTCTGATTACTTGAATAAAAAAAAAATAGAGTCCAAGAGGAAATTTATGGGAGGGAAGCGCTACTCGCAGCAAGGACACCTCCTCTCCCTGAGAGTTTGAAGGACATAGAGTCGAGAAAGCACTAATTCATCCCGGACGGACACGGTTAGCTGCCGCTAGACAAGGACAAAAGAAAAGGAAAAGCCCTTGCAGCCTTCATTTACCGAGAGAGCTATCTCTTGGGCGACCGATAAGCTGACGCGTAACGCGGTCATTTTACACGCCCAGGGTGTTCGGGGGCTTGGCGAGTAATTGCTGTATCCTCGAAGCCGTGCATGATTGATAGACTCCAAGACGCGACATAAAGGACGACACACTGTACTGAACCCCCCTCCACAAAGCTCGCAGATATGCTTCCTTTGTTTAAGAAGCTCGCAAACCCTAAATGACGGGAAGCCACCACTTTATCTCATTTTCCTTCTTACGAGAGAGTTCATCGGAGCCGAGAAGAGCGCCCTCACTGCGAAGTGAAGGTGGCGGAAACCAGTTTATTATTTTTTTTTCACAAAGAAAGAGTAAATTAGGTGGAATGTGCATTGCTTCTTCCTCGTTCCTTGTGGACATCATCTTCATGGGGTTTCTAATCAATGTAGGACGTACCGTATCTTTGTTGTTTCTATATCTGAACCTGGTCATGCTGGTAGGGTCATTATTATTTTGATGAATAAATAAAAGGAAAAAAAAATCTCCATTTAAAGTAACGTCAAGTTGTGGTATATTCCGGTGGAAGAAGTAATACATGATGGTTATAATGTATAGTCAGTGCAAAAATGATAACACTTATCAGTTTAAAACGTCATATTGCTGTGGCATCTTGTTTATTAATAAAAAGAAAACTTTGCACTTACAACCATGCTCTATAGTAGCTCACTATATTGGTGCCTTACAGTAGCTAAGCGATATACGTAGTTATGTAGCACCGAGATCCCACGTTTGCGTAGTCTGCAGCACAGACTCTAGGCTTAATGCACTCGAAAACGGGAAATGTGACATCGAAATATGAGTAGTCATTTCGCTTGATTTTTGTGTGGTGTAAGTTCTCTTGCATGGATACGATGCGAGTTAGTCTCTGCATTTCATTGCCGCATGATGCTTACGTAATTACAGGTCTGCAGTTGATCCTAAATTTTTACTATCCATCAGGTTTCTATCCTGGTTGATTACGTCATTATCGCATAATACATCACATCACGGTTTATTCAGCCACTACTTTCGAGTTTTCAGAGTTATCGCGTGGTTGGTCCTAACACGGACGCATGCAGCCTGTATGGATATATCAGTCGCCTTAGAAACGTCATCTGCTTTTGCTGGCACGTGTGAACGTATTATTATTATTATTATTATTATTATTATTATTATTATTATTATTATTATTATTTCGAGTGACGCAACTTAGAAAAATTGGCTTCATAGGTCTAACCTGCTTCTTCTCCACAGATAGCGCATAAGATAAAATCTTGACACACGTTGATAAACTCTGCATACAGTCAGTGAGCTTGAACCAAAACGTTCGAACAAAACTCAAGAAGCGGCAGAAGACAAAACGCAGTTCCATTAGTCGACCCATGTAGCTCGAATTATTTGAGAGATAGCTCTGCTTTTGCAGCTAGAACATGAGATAGCATCTGGCTACACAAAAGTCCCATTTAATGTCAGCTAAAGGCAACGCCAACGAAAGATCTGCCATACCGAGAGCGATGACGGCACTGAGAACTGTCTGTCGTATGTTTGTGCAAACATGCAGTTTTTCTTGTCGCGGCATGCAATCAAAACGCGTAGACTTCGCGTCGTCCTGGACTAAAGTCAGACACACAATAAAGTTAAATGCCTGCAAACTGATACTATCACGATTTCCCAAAGCAAGAAGAACCTTTACCGCTCGACCATGGATTTCGCGATAAGCAACGGTGCACTGTCAGAGCTAACCGCGGATGTCACGGCCCGGCAAAACTTGTTTAACCCTTCCAGACGCTATGTACACACTTGTGTGCACCACTCGTTTTTGTTATTTGCATCAAGTAGAGGCTAAGAAAGAGAACGATATGTCGTACATTTTATGAATTGAACCTCCTACATGATTAATTTGCCTTCATTTAACCTCACTTTGCAGTGTACTCATACATATGATCACTTTTCTGAAGGCACTACCACGTTTGACGAGTCGGGTGATGTGCTGCTTTCTTCAAGCGATGCGAAAAGCAGAAATTTTCTTTGCTCACAATTGACATAACCAAAAATAATTTTTGCACAATATTTCTAGCCTGAGATTACATTCTGTATATGCGAAAAGTACACATCAGTGACTTTAGGATAAAGAGATAATTAACTGCAACTTGATTAAAACGAGTTACTATGACACACATGGATTCAACAATTATCTCGTTATTTTTGTTGCAATAGAATATTGAGTACCTTGAAGTAACGTTGCAGTGATTTGACATATTTACGGACATATCTTAATCGTTGCTGTCTGAAAGGGCTAACAGCAGTTAAAGCATGGTGAGTTTTCTACGCACAACTTGATGGCGTCCGTCCCTTTTCCTTTTTTTTCGTGCACTTTACGAGTGTAGTTGCTCCCGAGTGCGCCGAGAGTCAGAAGGAAGAGTACGCGGCGTCTCCCGAGCTCCGCGTCGCATGCGAGGTACGCGCCAACCCGAGCGATGAGCTGCACTTCGAGTGGCTGGCCAACACCACCAAGCGCACAGGGCGCATCAACAGCCTAGCGGTGAATGGAACCCGCGCCCTGGCTCGGGCCGTCACCAGCAGGGAGCTCGAGTACGGCCTGCTCCTCTGCTGGGCTTCGAACAGCGTCGGAAAGCAGCGAGAACCTTGCGTCTTCCGCATCGTGCCTCCCGGTGGGTTGCCGAGCATGATGGCGCAATTGTTAGCAGCAGAATCAATATTTTCTATCAATCTCATAGAAAAGAAAGTACAAATAAAAACAGAGGCGTATAGCCAGTAAGTTCTGCCAGTATATTGGCCATCCAGGTGACGGGATGCTTTAAATAATGAGAACAACAACAACAACAATAACATAATAATAATAATAATAATAATAATAATAATAATAATAATAATAATAATAATAATAATAATAATAATAATAATAATAATAATAATAATAATAATAATAATAATAATAATAATAATAAAATTAGAAGAAGAAGACGAAAAAAAACCTAAAAAACCTGTTGAGAACGAAACTGCACCGCAGACATTTTTCATCGTAAAAGGAAAGAGAAAGTTCGAAAAAGCAGAACCACTAGCAGATCATCTAGCATAAAAGCTACGTGATGAGCTTCAAGTGAAGATAACCGCGGTCGTTGGCGTACAGTGACAGGGGATCAGATTGATTGATACTTTTAGTCGTCAAAGCTGAAGCAGGGGATGCCCTCGGCTCATGCATGCACAATGAAATGAAACAGGCGAATGCCAATCATGTGAACTGACCTATGTGGATGCATTAAACTTCCACTATATGCGCTGAGAGATTCAGATTACTTTTATACAATGCAACCACTGTAACAGGTGCCACTACAACATAGCTCTAATTTACTTTTTCTTTTACTTCGCTTTTCAGCGCCGCCTGGCGATCCTAAAAACTGCACCGTTGCCAGGAAAAGCCATGACAGCGTTGTGGTCAGGTGTCATTCTGGCCATACGGGGGGTTTGCCGGTCACCTTCTTCGCCGAGCTTCTCTCCGCGAGATCACCGTCGCCCTCTCTGCTGCTGCCGCTGACCAATGCGACTGCTGCCCGGTGGCCAGAGTTCGAATTCGCTGGACTACAGCCGGGAAGGGTGTATCTCGTGCGCGTCTACGCGGCAAACTCTCACGGCCGTAGTGGCGTCATGGAGGTTCGATTCTCGGCAGGCCGACGACTGCTGATCGATTCCGAGCCCGCGGCAAGCGCTGGTGAGTGAAGTTTACGGCATAGTATGCATAGGCAGTTTCAGAGGTATGTTTGCAAACACAAGCTGTCCACGAAAAAAAAAAAAATAAGCGTGACTCCGCGTATTCACTGGTTGAAACACTGAGTCCACGAGTGTGTTCTTACGATCGAATGGCCGACTGTCTTCTCTGTTTGGCTGTGTATCGAACCCTCAAATAAACAAACGAATAAACGAAAGAGGTAGTGAGTGAGCGAGTGAGCAAATGAGGAAGCGAATAAACGAGCGAGTGAGCGAACGAACGAGCGAGCGAGCGAACAGACGAGCGAAAGAACGAACGAGTGAACGAACAAGTGAACGAACGAGCGAAAAAACGAACGAACGAACTAATGAGAGCACAGTGTTTGTTTTTTTGAAGTGTTCTAGAAATTGTTGATAATGATAACAAGAATTTAACCCATTTGAGATAATAGCTTGAGTCACTGAGCTAGCAGAGGTTTACCGGTGGTTCGCCATCACTTTGCAATTAAATAATATTGAAAGAATTCAACACTGATGAAACAGGATTAAATACCTCCTGAAAGATCTCGACTGCAGGCGAAAAGAGGCAAAATGTATTTGGCGATAGATTTAAAAACAATGTTGTATGCACGACACGTAAGCGAAAGCGACAACGACGGTTGCAATGTTGCCTTGCTGGGGAACACTTAAATAGCTTTCACTCAAAAGGACACACATACACGCGGTGTAATGTCCATACGTGTCTTGTCTTTTGCATGTGGCGTTTCGAGTTACATCAAAGCTATTGAAAAGAGAAAAATTTCGGCAGCCACGAAAAAAAAACTAACAGAAACAATATTGATGCAGCAGCTACAAAGCAAGTCGACGGTTGTATAATCACTTTGTAGAAACTTCAACTTTTAATAAATGTGCAGATGGCAACGCAACCAGCCTGCCAGGCCACGTTTTAGGCTTCCTCGGAACAGTGGTTGTAGCGCTTGCCTGCGCCATAATCTGCCTCACCTTTGCAAAGTACCGAAAGCACAGGCGAAAGCGTAAAGGTACGTTCGAGCAGCTTCAACATTTTTCTACAATAAAAGATCATATGCTTTTTTCCGTCCGAATTCTTTTCCTTCTGCGTTTTCTTTTTCGTTATGTATGTGTAAAAAATAAACTTACGGTAAAGGAGTGTTAATTGCACCTAAAGTTCAGTTGAAGAGAAAAATCAGCGTTGTCATCAACATTTTAAAACTTATTCACTATTGAAAAGAGCAAGGAAAAAAAACTGAATGGGTCTTTTCTTTTTTATGCGAGCTCAGTACGCTAGTAAAGGGTGCCTTTTTCGTTTCTTTACGCTTTAAAAGCTGCTCAGTCTGCTTGATTGTGGGGGAGCTGATTTATCTTAATTACGCGCTGAGCTGGTTGCAGTTCTTAGCAAAGCGTTATCGTTCTACTCATACCCGATCGAAAGTAAGCAGACATAAATTTAAGCACTTTCTTTTTTATGTATATCTAACATTCTTCTTAGGGAAACTTTTCAGGGGACGTAGCGATAAGCGGTTAATAGGTGGCAGTAACATGAATGGGAGAAACAGGGTGGATACGGAATGGTATGCTTTCACATTTTCGCTCAAGCACTTGCGCTGCTGCCTTGCAATATTGTCCGATGCGTTCATTGCATTGAGCTTTTAGGTATTGAAGGCGTCACAAAGGATTGCAAGGAAGCTTTAACTAACGTTGCGATATCGTTGCCATACTCTTCTACGAAAGCTTGAAAAGTTCAAATAGGCAAATAACTTACGTTGTTTTTCTTTTATTCAGCAGGTATGAAAGAGACCATCCAGCTTCAAAAGTAAGTTGCACTAGTTAGTCTATATCACATGTTTGTTCCGAACAATTTGTACATGCGCACACTTTCTGTAATAAGCAATGAAGCAGTTAGAATTGGCGAAAACACTACAAAAGTTGTCTTCTTACCCCGTTTCCTTGAAATAGATCGCGCAATAGGAATAACTGAGCTGAGTTATTTATTTTCATTTATGGAGGGCTTTTCGGGTCGTGGTTTCAAGCTCGAAAATTATCAACTCTTGTGTTGCTGTTACATTTTTGTTTATGCATTTTAAATGAATAGAAAGGCAAGCTTGGAGTCGACTATTTCTAGACACCGTTAGAAAATTAACGCCAGCACGTTCGTCTAATTATACGTAACCCAGAAACGTTCTAAGTTAATGTAAAAATGTACCTCCCCGCTATGAAAGACAGGAATAAAATAGTCGCACGCACAGATACTACTGTTGAAGTGCTGGTAAATCACACGTAATATAGGTAGAGTTCTAACAAGTGTACATATGTCGATTTTATGTTGATTTGATCCTACATTTATTTGATGATATTTACTTCTTGCGTCAGCGTAGCGTAACAACGACGTTGAACTACGAAACAGTACCAAACACGAAAGAACGGTGGCGTGGAAAACATCTTTTGGCCTGAATGTTCTTTCAACCCTCTTGACCCATGCTAAATATATTTACATTGTGTTTACACTATTTAGAGCTTACTCATCTTCATCATAGTCATCATTTACCATGGTGTCATCATCATCATCATTATCATCAGCCTGACTACGTCCACATCACGAGAAAGGCCTCTCCCATGTTCCGCCAGTTAACCCGGTACTGTGCTTGCTGCTGCCAATTTATACCCGCAAACTTCTTAATTTCATCTGCCCACCGAACCTTTTCTCTCCCCCTAACCCACTTGCCTTCTCTGGGAATCCAGTTAGTTACCCTTAATGACCAGCGGTTATCCTGTCTACGCGCTACATGCCCGGCCTATGTCTATTTCCTCTTCTTGATTTCAACTATGATATCCTTAACCCCTGTTTGTTCCCTAATCCACTCTGCTCTCTTCTTGTCTCTTAATGTTACACCTACCATTTTTCTTTCCATTGCTCGCTGCGTCGTCCTCAATTTAAGCTGACCCCTCTTTGTAAGCCTCCAGGTTTCTGCTCCGTGGCTAAGTACCGGCAAGATGCAGCTGTTATATACCTTCCTCTTCAGGGATAGTGGCAATCTACCTGTCATAATTGGAGAGTGCTTGCCAAATGTGCTCCACCCCATTCTCATTCTTCTAGTCACTTCAATTTCGTGGTTCGGCTCCGCGGCTATTACCTGCCCTAAGTAGACATAGTCTTATACAACTTGAAGTGCACTATTACCTATCTCGAAGAGCTGCTCTTTTCCGAGGTTGTTGTACAATACTTTCGTTTTCTGCAGATTAATTTTAAGACCCACCTTTCTGCTCTCCTTGTATAACTCCGTAATCATGAGTTGCAATTCGTCCCCTGAGTTACTCAGCAATGCAATGTCATCGGCAAAGCGCAGGTTACTAAGGTACTCTCTGTCAACTCTTATCCCTAACTGCTCCCATTCTAGGCTTCTAAAAACCTCCTGTAAGCACGCGGTAAATAGCACTGGGGAGATTGTGTCCCTCTGCCTTACACCCTTCTTGATTGGTATTTTGTTGCTTTCTTTATGAAGCACTATGGTAGCAGTTGATCCCCTGTCGATCTCTTCCAGGATGTTTATATATACTTCATCAACGCCCCGATTCCGCATTGTCTGCATGACGGCTAATATTTCTACTGAATCAAACGCCTTCCCGTAATCTATGAAGGCTATGTATATGGGTTGGTTATATTCTGAGCATTTCTCTATTACCTGATTGATAGTATGAATGTGGTCGATTGTTGAGTAGCCTGTTCAAAATTCTGCTTGTTCCTTTGGTTGATTGAATTCTAATGTTTTCTTCACTCTGTTAGCAATTACCTATGTAAATAGCTTGTATACTACAGAGAGCAAGCTGATCGGCCTGTAATTCTCAAGTCTTTGTCATCTCCGTTATTATGTATTAAGAGGATGTTAGCGTTCTTCCAGGACTCTGGTACTCTTCCCGTCAGGAGACACCTCGTAAACAGGGTGACTAGTTTTTCTAACACAATCTGTCCTCCATCTTTCAGCAGATCCGATGTTACCTGATCCTCACCAGCAGCTTTGTTTCTTTGCATGCTCTCCAAAGCTTTTCTGACTTCTTCTATCATTACTGGTGGGGTGTCATCTGGGTTACTGCTAGTTCTTATAGTATAAAGGTCGTGGTTGTCTCGGCTACTGTAGAGATCTCTGTAAAACTCCTCCGCCATTTTAACTATCCTATCCATATTGGTAGTTATTTTGCCTTCTTTGTCCCTTAGAGCATACATCCGACTTTTGCCTATCCCAAGTTTCCTCTTCACTGCTTTGACGCTTCCTCCGTTTTTCAAAGCGTGTTCAATTCTCTCCATGTTATACCTTCTTACATCGCATACCTTACGCCCATTATTCAACTTTGAAAGCTCTGCCAGTTCTATTTTGTCTGTTGTACTTGAGATTTAATGATTTGACGCTTCTTAATGAGATTCTTTGTTTCCTGGGAAAGCTTACCAGTGTCCTGTTTAACTACCCTGCCTCCAGCTTCCACTGCACACTCCGTAATGATACTTGTCAGATTATCATTCATTGTATCTACGCTAAGGTTGGTTTCCTCACTAAGAGCCGAGTACCTGTTCTGAAGCGAGACTCTGAATTCCTGTACTTTCCCTCTCAGTGCTAGCTCATTGATCGGCTTCTTGCGTATCAGTTTCTGTCGTTCCTTCTTAGAGTCTAGGCGAATTCGAGACCATACCATTCTATGGTCACTGCATCGTACCTTGCCAACCACTTCCACATCCTGCACGATGCCTGGGTGTGCACTTATTATAAAGTCTATTTCATTCTTATTTTCGCCATTAGGGCTCCTCCATGTCCACTTGCGGTTTCCTCGTTTTCGGTAGAAGGTATTCAAAATCCGTAAATTATTGCGTTCTGCAATTCTACTAGTAGCTCTCCTCTGGCGTTTCTAGTACCGATGCCATAATCTCCTACTGCCTGGTCTCCAGCCTGCTTCTTCCCTACCTTTGCATTAAAGTCTCCCATCAGTATAGTATACTGTGTTTTTACCTTACTCATTGCCGATTCCACGTCTTCATAGAAGCTTTCAACTGAAGCGTCATCATGGCTGGATGTAGGCGCGTAAGCCTGTACCACCTTCACCTTGTATCTTTTATTCAGTTTAAATACAATACCTACCACCCTTTCCGTATTTATATAGTATTCCCCTATGGTTCAAGCTATGCTTCTGTGAATTAGGAACCCCACTCCCAGTTCTCTTCTGTCAGCCAAGCTTCGACAGCAAAGGACGTGCCCATTTTGTAGCACCGTATGGGCCTCATCTGTCCTCGTAACCTCACTGAGCCCTATTATATCCCATTTAACACCCTCGAGCTCCTCGAATAGTACAGCTAGACTTCCCTCACTAGATAAGGTTCTAGAGTTAAACGTTGCCAAGTTCAGGTTCCAATGGCGGCCTGTCCGGATCCAGAGATTCTTAGCACCCTCTGCTGCGTTGCAGATCTGACCGCCACCGTGGTCAGTTGCTTCGCAGCTGCTGGGGACTGAGGGCGGTGAGTTATTTGACGTATGCATGTGGGAGGTAGCGGCTAGATACTGCACCAGGGTGGCCAATCCTTCTCTGGTGAGGAAGTGCGTTCCCGGTGGTGGTTACCGGTGAGGCCGCACACCAGGCCTCTTAATGCAGTTCCATCACCACATGGATTTTTTTTTATCCGGTTGAGAACTGTGCGCCACCGGTATTTGAACCACGGACCTTTTGCATGCGAGGCGGGGGCTCTAACCACTACGCCATCGCCGTAATTCACAATAAGTTTTCAAAGCTAAAAATTGCTTTCCTTTCTCGGCAAATGACACCACAGGCTCAAAAGTCACTTGTCACAGCCATTGGCTGGTTTGAGCATAACACACTCACCGTTACCGGGGCCGCCGCGGGAGGCCGCCACTTGTCCACGAATATCTGCGTGATCACACTGAAAAGTCCCGTATTCGAAAAAGAGGTACTCAAGGCCACGAGGAGCGTGTGACTTATTTTCTTTCGCTGTGACATTTCTTCCTGCTCAACTTCCAGCTATTTCGTCCGGACGAGAAGAGAGAATGCAACTGCAGTGTGCCACCAATCTTCGGAAGTCCGCTCTTATCGGACTAACTCCAGAAACCCTGCGGCGGCAAATCTGTGAGGCCACAAGCTTGTTTACTGGCTCCATGGCTACTTGCAAAAGTGTTGCAGGGCCGCTTTGAAGGAACATGTTACCCTCAAATCAATTCTTCATTTTATTAGGCTTGTTATGACGGCTTATATGATCCAAGTATAATAAATTCCAAAACGATAAGCATCCCACAGGTTACCACTCGCATCCTACCAAAACTACCACTCAAGGTTGCTTCGACCTCCCTTGAACGAAAAAAATAAAATAAAATTTGTGTATAGCCCCTATTTCAATTCAAAGGAAACACCGTGCGGGCCAGCCAGGTCATGACAAATATCCCCCCTTTTATATGTCGTACACACCATCTGAATTCAATTTGAACTTATTCGATCAAAATCACTATTCACTTCGGATTCACTTCGAACCTAAAATTCACTATTCGCACAAGCCTAGTAGTGACCTTCTGAAATCCATTTATTTCATACCAGACTGTTTGTGAACAGTTTGATAATTTACGAAAATATTAGTAACAGCGGTGACCCTATCAATCTGGTATATATATATATATGTATATATATATATATATATATATATATATATATATATATATATATATATATATATATATAGATAGTGTGTGTGTCTTCGTATGTCTGCGTCTGTGCGTGTGTGTGTGTGTGTGCGCGCGCACACACACACACGCGAGCCATTTATTTGTTCAAGTTTCAGGATGACCAATGCTCTATCAGCACCCATCCGCTTGAATGCACAGAAACTCAATCTTAGCTAACTGCACGAAGTGGGAGATAGGCATAAATTTTAAAAATAGGAAGGCGTTCCTTGTAGCATTTCCGTCAAATAATAACGGGGCGTGTTAGCGCCTGGGCGCCCCAATGCGCACCCTTACTATTAGTCGAGAATGGCATTAGAATGTGTTTTGAACCCGCTATCATATTCAACTTATATATTATAGACATGGCAAATTAGACCCCAAAGTTGATTTGTTTATATACGCGGATGATAGTGTTTTACTACTCACTGGAAAAGATGCGAATGAACGAATAAGATGTAACGCACTGCTAATCAAGCTATCAGATTGGTCTCTTTCAAATGTGATCAAGATTTACCTCACCAAAACAAAAGCGATCCTTCCTAAAGCCAGAAATAAACCTTTTCAGTTGACGCATTCAGTCCCTTCAGATTAAATATAGAATTGGTTAATGAACATAAAATCCTTGGAGTTATATTTTCATGTCATCTGAGTTGAGATGCTCATTTTAATGAACTTCGAAACAAGTTTTCTGCACAAAAGCCAAATTACAAATTCATCACGCATTATTAACTTCGCAGTTTAAATTATCGCTGTTTAGTATGGGCGAGCACAACGTGACATACATAAAGTAATTACATTACAAAAGGAAGTTCTCCGGCACATTGCAAATATTGAACCTCAGGCCACAACAAATACAGTATCACAAAAATACAACATCCTTCGTGTATAGATGGGTACTACGAAAAACGCGTTTTGCAGATATTTCATTTTTGCAACGAAGGAATACAGTGATTTTCTTGCATCCATAGCGACCTTAAAACACCACGACCTACCTGTGCATCTAAGAAACCCAGAACCTTGGTTTGTGCAGCGCTTTCGCGCTGAATAAGCTATACAATTCCTCAAACACAATTCACCGAAAATTCTAAACACGCTATTAAATTATCTCGCAAGGAATTGAAGATGTATTTCGCTAAGACGTACGCATGTGCACGGCATATTCACGTATAACGACTGAAAATCAAATTATATTTTTAGTGCTTTGCTACTTATGCCAAGTATGTGTATCATTAAGTGTCCAATAACTTCTAATCATGCATATGAGTGTCAAATTTATTTTGTACCAAAATTTTTATCATTCTCGCGCTGTCATGTACAACGCTTCCCAGTCAAGCTGCTGACGACAGCTTTTAGCCCCGGAGGACAGTTTCTAGTTTGTACTAGAAGAAATTATAAAGTTGAAAGTCAAAGTTGAAATCTCAAGGAATGCATGAGCTTAATATCAATGGAAGAGAAGTGCACAATATTATTAGCTATCTTTCGATCACGTGCCATTAAACGGGAAAGCGCGAAAAAGTATGAATTGTTGTTACACGAGACGTAGACGCACGTGGCGTCGACTCATGGAACGGTTCCACTACGCTGGGGGGGGTAGGGTGGAGACACGCGTCGCTAAAGCCCCTCTACAGACAGGCGAAAATGGAAACGCGTCGGGCGTCTCGAACCTAGCGCGTGGGGTGTTCTATCAGCCATACCGACGCCTGCATTCATCCAACAGCGCAGCCTGTCGGAACGGTCCACAGAAATCTGCTCGCGTCAATCGGCGAACTGCATGCACACTGAAGCACCATGGCTGACAACGATTTTTTGGACTACGAAGAAGATGAAGAGCAGGAGCAGGCCGCAGAGGAATCCATATAGCAAGTGAAGAAGCCCACCGGAGGCTACGTGTCCATTCACAGCTCCGGGTTTATGGATTTTCTTCTGAGGCCCGAGCCTCTGCCCGCCATCGTGGACTGTGGCTTCGAACACCCGTCCGAGGTACAACCCCAGGCAATCCTCACCCCGAGGCATACACCCCGAGGCATACCCCAGGCAATCCTGGGCATGGACATCCTGTGTCAGGCCACGTCTGGCATGGGTAAGACCACGGTGTTCGTCCTGGCTACTCTGCAGCAGCTAGACCCTGTCGAAGACCAGGTGTCTGTGCTCGTGATGTGCCATACCCGAGAGCTGGTTTTCCAGATATCCAAGGAGTACGAGGGGTCCTGCAAGTACCTGCCGGCGGTGCGCGTGGCCGTGTTTTTCGGCGGCATGAACATCTCCAACGACGAGAAGGCGCTCGCGGACAGCTGCTCCCACATTGTGGTGGGCACACCCGGTAGAGTCCTGGCCCTCGTTCGTACCCGCAAGCTGCAGCTGAGGAACGTAAAGCACTTCGTTATGGACGAGTGCGACAAGATGCTTTAGCAATTGGGCATGCGTCGTGACATCCAGGAGATCTTTCGCGTGACTCCTCACGAGAAGCAGGTCATGATGTTCAGCGCGACCCTGAGCAAGGACGTCAGGCCCGTGTGCCTCAAGTTCATGCAAGACCCGATGGAGGTGTACGTGGACGACGAGGCGAAGCTCACCCTGCATGGCCTGCAGCAGTACTACATGAAGCTGCGGGAGAACGAGAAGAACCGCAAGCTGATTGAGCTGCTCGATTTTCTCGAGTTCAACCAGGTGGTCATCTTTGTGCAACCGTTCAGCGCTGCGTGGCTCTCGCACTACAGTTGGTGGAACAGATCTTCCCCGCCATTGCCATCCACCAGGCCATGACCCAGGAGGAAAGGCTGTTCCGCTACTAAGCAGTTCAAAGAATTCCAAAAGGGGATCCTCGTGGCCACAAACCTGTTCGGACGAGGAATGGACATTGACAGAGTCGATATCGTCTTCAACTATGATATGCCTGAAGACTCCGACACGTACCTCCACAGGGTTGCCAGAGCTGGACGTTTTGGCACCAAGGGGTTGGCACTGACGTTTGTAGCTGGTGAGCAAGACGCAAACACCTTAAACCAAGTGCAAGACCGGTTTGACGTTAGCGTCTCCGAACTGCCCGAGGAATTGACATTTACTCTTACATAGAAGGCCGCTGAAGCTATCCTAATGGCGCAAAGCCGCTTTGACAAGTTGTGAATCGTTGCGTATGAACATTTTCCTCTAATTTATTACCTAATGCGTTTTGTGTAATACTGTCTGTCTATTGTTATTTTATTTCGATACGTATTGCTCAGAAAGTACGCTTTCAAAGCCATATCAGACTGGGAATAAAGTTTGAAAGGAAATAAGGTGTCAGTGGTATAAGTTTCTTTTACACAAGAGGTATACTATAGGCGCGACTCAATCCTGTGAAATCCGAAGTTTTGAGTTGAACTGCGAAGTTGTTCAGCTGTTCGAATGGCACTGTTTGAATTGTCTACTGTGGGCCCTGACACTTCCACAGCATGTGACTAAGAGTGGCAACCTCGCCACACGACGTGCGCTGTTTGAATTTTCCCTTTTTTTCTTTTGTATTGTCCCTTTTTTTTCTACCATGGTGTAAGTAGGCTTTAACTGATGGTACATACGACTGGTCGTTTTAGAGTGCTCCCCAGGTTCTGCAAAGTATACGTAAAATTGCAACTAAGTGCTGCCAATAAAATAATTGAGGAAGTACATAATCAGGAGGGGGGGGGGGGAGATCACCTGCATTCCTTCTTGTTCTCGTCGTAGAGCCTCCAAGCTGCTGAATTCATCACGTTGAAACACAATCACAGCGCTCGTAAATGATCACCCGAATGGACCGAAACCTTTTTACGTGGACGAAATAAGACTGTTTTTGCGTGGATGAAATAAGACTGTTTACTCAATGACACAATGACATTCCTTGGTTCAGCTGCGCAAAACTCAGACGTCACTGACGACACAGAAAGAGAAATAATACTTTATGTAATCGGTGAAGTGTTTCAGTAACGGTGACGGAAGTCATGTTAACGGAGTGATAGAACACATTTTGACTGGCGTTAACCGGGTGTGTTCACTTTTACTGACGCATACGTGCACAGGGCTTCACCACAGAAAAGTTTCTGCGAGTGCGGCTCTGGTGATGTCGTCTACCAGTCGCCCGACCTCATCACGAGCAAGTGCGGAATGTCGGGTAAGTTTTTTGGCGTTTCGTGCTTGACTTGCCGATTGCGTATCATGTAACGATTGGTGGACCAGTAAACGTGAATCATCATCATTATCATCATCATCATCATCATCATCATCATCATCATCTTCTTCTTCTTCTTCTTCTTCTTCTTCTTCTGCTTCTTCATCATCGTCATCATCATCACACGCCACACATAGACGACCGTTATTAGAAAAATGATATACTCTGGCCACTTTTCCAGTTACAGCAAAGCAGTGAACCTTTAACATAGAGTTAGTGATACTGCATGGTGATTTTTTTAGCGCAAAATGACATCATGAGGAACAACACCGAACAAATCTATACTCTTGCAGACCAGAACCATAAGAACATGTGTAGTTTACACCGCGCGCAGCAACCACCACAGCTTGAACGACCGAGTGCACCTACGGTAGCACATTCAGAAAAGAAAATTCCGTGCCAAACAAGGGTGACGAAAGAACACTATTGTGAATCCAACGATTGAATAAAACGGCTTCGTATATTTTCTGGTAGTGTCACGGCACTTCTTAAAATGAGTTCTTAATCCAAAAAAGCTGTTGAATTGCATTTTTGCAGAGTGCAGCTAATATTGGAGCCAGTACCAGTCCACAGGATCCCTAAAAATCACCATGAATTCACACCAGCTAAACATTTCAAGAAAATTAATAATAACGGGTATTGTAAGGATATGATGGTGTACTATTTTCTAGTAAGTTCATTAATAATTGCTAGTGGTTGCATGCGCTAATGTGTGCCTGCGTGTGCTCAGAGCAGGTAGTGTTTTCAACATCAGCGTTGAATACTTTCGCCATCAGCAACAACAGGAGCGATCGAACCAGAAAGTTGAACAGTTAGTTGCGAGTAGACGCTCTTTCCTTTTGCCTATTTTCCCCCGGTGATTTGCGTAGTCTGATCTTCTTGTAACATGTACCAACTAGCTCAACAACAAGTTCTACTGAAGCACTGAACAGTACAGCTTGTGTTCGTTCATTATCTGTATTCGAGAAAAATCTTGGCCCCACCGATTACTTTTTTGCCTTTGTTGACAGTTGTTTTAGAACCAGTGAGAGTTTGTGATACAAAAATAAACGATAAAAAAAGCAACTTCTGACAGTGGTTCGAGAGGTCACGTAGAGTTAGGCACGCTACATAAGTAAAAAAAAAGAAAACTTTCCAGTGCTGTTCACTAAATGCAAAGGCTTCAGTGGATGTGTAAATGACTAAACTCGTTAGTGGTGAGTACTTAACAGAACGCCCCTCGAACACGCACCCAACAGCTGTCTGAAAAGGCCGACAGAAAGGAGCAATTTGCTGCCACTCTAGGTAGACGGGCCGGCCGGGGCAGTCAACCTACTGTATAGAGGTCCGCTGCAAGCAGCGAATGGTGTCTACAACATCAATCTGCTCTAAAGCCAAGCAGTTGTAGATTTGCCTGAAGGAAAGAGAGAGAAAAAAATGTCCTTCGTTCTCTCTCTCTCTCTCTCTCTCTCTCTCTCTCTCTCTCTCTCTCTCTCTCTCTCTCTATATATATATATATATATATATATATATATATATATATATATATATATATATATATATATATATATATATATATATATATATATATATATATATATATATATATAGTCCAGTGGGTCCTCCGTGAGCGGTCACAACGTGGTTTATTTCCACGTTTCGGCCTAGAGTCTGGCCTTCATCAGGATTAAAGATACAGTTTGTTGGTGCTCAGCTTTATACAATCTCAAATCAGAGGGCAAGGAAAGAGGAAAAAAGACAGAAAAGAAAAAAAAGGTAAAAAGAAAAAAAAAGAAAAAAGGAAAGAAAAAGAAGAAAGAAGAGAAGAGAAAAATAATATACGGTGGACGCCCCTCGGGTTCCCCCCTTCCACTCTTCCCTCCACTTCCCCCTCCACTCTTCCCTCCACATCCCCCTTCATCTCTCTCCCCCCTCTCCCCTTCACCTTTCTGATGTCAGCGGTCTGTGTATGTTTCCGTTCACTAACGCATTCCTCCCGATCAGACGGCCCCTCCTGGCACTGGCGGTTCGGTGTGGAGCAAAAAAGAGCTTTTCAGGAAGTCCTAAGCCTTTAACTACTCGAAGTCCCGTAAACAATTCGTCGTAGAAGGAGGGGTGCCGCGTATTGTGGCAGAGGCTGGTAAGCGGGCATTTTAGGAAGTTCTAAGCCTTTAACTACTCCGCGCCCTGTCAACATTTCGTCGTAAAAAGAGGGGTGACCCATATTGCGGTAGGCTGTGCAAGCGGGTGCAATGCGAATTCCTTGCCCACTTCTGGATTACGCGTGTAGTGGGGGCCTCCCGGCTGTGCACAGGGTTGCTGTCGGGCATGTCATGCATGGCACAATTGATTGGGTAGTAAAATAAAATAGAAAACAGACGACAGCTGCACTTAGGAAGAGTAGTTACACTTGGAATTGTTTTGGGTTGTCCAGTGCCCTTCGCAGCTGCAGTGCCGTGAACTCAGTTACTATTTTCATTGTTGCCGTTATTGTTTTCTAATGCTTTAATTGTGCAAGTGTACCAGTATTCTCATTTATTCCTCTATCGAGGGTGTTAAATCGGTGGATGAGGTATGACTCTCGTTGTTCACGTTCTCGATTTGATTTAAATCCCGTCTCTAAGAGCATTACTGATAGTTTGTCGAATGCATGGTCGGGAAGATTGAGATGTTTTGAGGAAGGTAGACTTGGGGCTGATTTCGCATGAGCTCTGCGATTATTGAAGCGAATCCTAAATGGTGCTTCTGTTTGTCTGATGTACTGCATACCACACACGTTGCATTCGAGTAGGTATACCACATTAGAGGGATCGCATGTTGGGTTTCCTCGTATGTTAATCGAAAACTGGGATTGCGTGCTGGTTGCTTTGTCTCTTTCTCGCATCGCCTTACATACAAGACATCGTGGCTTTAAACAAGGGCGGCATGAATTATTGGGGGGTGATGTGTTAATTTGGGAGTGGACAAGGGTGTCTTTGAGGTTACGTGGTCGTCGGTAAACGACGCCTGGAGCGGATGGGAATGCGCGTTTCAGACGTTCACTTTGTTCCAGAATGTTGTAATGTCGTTCAAGGATTTTGTTTACATTGGGGAAGTTTGTGCTCTAAGTCAAGCAGAGGTTTGTTCGTTGTGGGTCTTCTTGTGGTGGTCGCTTCATAAGAAAGTCTTCACGCTTTAGTTTTCTCGCTTTTTGAACAGCGTCATTAATTACATGTGGGGGGTATTTCTGTTTCTCGAGCATAAGTTTTAGCCTCTGTGAGCTCGTGTCAAAGTCAGCGTCTCTAGAGCAGATTCGCTTAAACCGGTGAGCCTGGCTGTATGGAATACTGTTTTTACAGTGGCGTGGGTGATCGCTTTGGTAATGGAGGTATTGTTGTCGATCCGTTGGTTTGCGATGTAGGGTTGTAGAGAGCTTCTCTTGTTCTATCGTTGTGGTAACATGAAGAAAATTTACGGTAACTTGCGAGTATGTGTGTGCGAAGTGTATGTTCGGATGTACAGCATTCTAAGTGTCGATAAAGCTGAGAAGTTCGTCCTCGCTGTGGGTCCAAATAAGAAAGATGTCGTCTATGTATCTCCCGTATAACATATATATATATATATAAATATATATATATATATATATATATATATATATATATATATATATATATATAATATATATATATATATATATATATATATATATATATATATATATATATATCCTGCAATGGCGTTTATTTCTACCCGTTTTACCAGGAACGAAGGAAAAATAGGAGAAAAATAACGGCAGGGAGGTTAGCCAGCCTATAGGCAGCCGGTTTGCTACCCTGCGCACGAGAGGGGGATAGCGGAGATGAAAGATAGAGTTTTACCAGCAGTGGCAATAGCGCACCACTATGGAAATGAACTTCATGCTTGCGTGACTTTTTAATGGATTGACTGATTTACGTCACCTGAACCTTGATGCAAATTTATGGAGTTCTTTCTTTCGATTGCTGTAATATTTACCGACTTTTTAACCTGTGAAAGAACTAATTGGAGCTATGTAAATGCACTGTGGCGGCATACGTGCTTAGTATTGTACGTCGTGTTCTTACGTTTGCTACATGTAGACTTGCCTCTTTGCTGTTTTTGGTTGCTGGGCAGGTCAAGTCGACATCGCAGCAGTGGCAACTGTTCTTCGTAGTAAATCAAGTGGTGACAGCGGGTTGGATGGGTGCTACCACGAGACCAGGGTTATTAGCGGATCCTTGTCTCCAACAGTACCTGGGAAGGTTTGTACCGCAGAACATTGCCGTTGTTTAGAGCATAGCAGGAACCGATGTACATATAGATTCCAGCTGGTGCGTTGAATTTCTACATACAGAAAGACTTGTACATCATCGTCAACATGCAACGTGGAAGAAAATGGCTGTAAAAGCGCTACTGCGCTTTTTGCAATCGACCGACCTTTCTGGGCGATTGTAGTTAGAGCGGCCTTCCTGTATGTGTGTGTGTGTGTGTGTATGTGTGTGTGTGTGGGCGTGGGTGCGTGTGCGTGTGTGCACGAACGTTTTCTTTTTCTCTTACTTTCCTTCTCTCTCTCTACACCCTCTTTCTTGCCCCTGTTTCCCAGCCCCAGTGCTTGGTAGCAAACCCGGTGCTATTATCTGGTTAATCTACCAGGCTTGTCCTTCACATCTTTCTATCTCCATATATTCCTATTTCTTTTCTCCAAATAAACATGTAGACAACTCCGCTAACTGGCGAAAATTCGCTTGTTTCCTATTTGAGCATTCCGAACAATTACTGGAAAGGGTAAAATCAAGTTTGCTGAATTGAAAAACAAACAGCTACTATCAGCCGAAATTTTCCAAAGCAATTTCTACCGCAATCCACAATCTTGGTAATCTTACTACGCTTAGTTACTAATGTTTCTTCGCTCTTGAAGGCCATAGACCTGTCTAATCTTAAAGGGGCCCTGCATGTCTTGTTGAACATGGTCAGCAAATGCTGCCGATCGGTGGTAGAGGCACCCGACAACACGCGAGCCAAATATTATACCGCAGCACGCGGCCTGTAATTCACAATAAACAATCAAAGTCAGCTGAAAATTGCTTTCTCTTTTCTCGACAAATCACGGAATACAGCCAAAAATCACATGTAGCAAGCCCATCTATCAGTCAGTGGTTGATTTGAACATGGCGCGCTCGCTCGTTACAGAGATCGCCGCGGGAGGTGGCTACTTGTCCACTCGTGCGCGCGCGAACCACACCGAAAAAAAAAAAAAGAGAAAAATATCACAAGGTCACGAGGTGTGCGTGACGTTTTTCGGTGGCCTTGCCATCCCTCCCTGCCTAGCTTTTAGCGTTTTCGTCGGGACGAGAAAAGAGAGAACGCAATTGCAGCATGCGACAAACCTTTGTAACTCCACTCGCACTGGACGGATTCTCAGAATTTTTGCGGCATTGAGTCCGTGAAAAAATGAGCTCTTACAGTGAAGTCATTCAATGGTTACTTGAAAATGTGTTTCAGGGCCCCTTTAAGAATTAAAGACATCCCTAATATTTTAGTATTTAGAGCTTGTGTATTGTGTTATGCTAAAAGAGGAGAGGCGAACAAGATGTGCTGGTAAATATATAACTGCGAAGCTATACCATAGAAACAGTGTGGTAAAACATGCGGCTATGTCTGCTTGTGTTTCAAACGTACAAAGTAAATTAAGGTAATTAAAAAGTAAGATACAATACTGAGAAAGCATAACCTAACACAAACCACGCTAAAAAGGAAGTAATGGCCCCTGATTTTCACGTAGTCATTGAGCAGAATTGCAGTCAGACTACAGCATCTGCGCAGTCAGTACGCTCAAGGTTCTGCCACTGTGTTCTTTCACACAAATAGACGAGTTTCAAACAAAACACACTGTGCGCGATGCCGATGATCTCTAAAGTCACCTGGTTGGCTTCGTGGGCAGCTCTTTTGTTGCGTTTGGAGACAGCGCCACCGCGCTAGTACAGACGGCTTATATCGTCTGGGGAATTTTATTTTCTTCGGCGTATTCTACATGATTCGCACGTCTTAATAAGATGCGAGAATGGGTTAAACACTGAGCACGTATAAGTGCAGTAATATGTGTGGTTATACCTGTAAAACGTCCAACGTGTCAACGAGGTGCACAAGCATGTGGTAACGTTGCGATGAGAAGAAAAAAGTATGTGGCACCTTGCAGGCTTAAGATGGAACCGGGATGTCTCGCGCTGATAAAAAGGAAAGCGTGATTTGCTATTTTTCCTTTTCAGCCGTAAATCACCGTAAGAGATCGAAAGCCAGCAAGCCGGGAGCGATGGACACCGGCAGCGTTAATCCATGTTGGCTGGAGGATGGAAAAAGGATTATCGTGTTCCAGTAAAGGATGGCGCTGAAGGATACCGGATCCGCCGCTGATTGCTCAAGTACTCCTGAAATCACGAGAGGTATTGCTCTTTAGCTACGTCGCGTGATTCCGCAGAAGTCACTTGCAGTATTCGGTCTTCGTGTGCTTCGAGTTGTTGACTAATGCGGTATCACCTTGCATGTTGCTAGCATGCTCAATTAGTTGAGCAACCATCGAAGAAAGACGTTAGTCCTCGGTTCGATGCCCGAAACAGGACTCATTTTTGTGCGATGAAAAAGCTCTCATTTCTGAGTAATCTGTCCAGATTGTCTTGTGGCCAGTGCTACAAACAGATGATTGTCGATCACCCCTTTCGTAATCATTGAACCACGTTGTAGATTTACTCAAAATTCATTTGCAACAATCGCAAAAAGGGATGCTGCCTATGTTGAAAAAACTACTTCTGCAGCACAGTATAAGAGAATAATTAACGTGATCGAAGTCTTCAATCTTAGACAACGTATAGCTGAATTATTTCATGTACAGCGCGTGAAGGTTCTCATATATAGCAGCAACTTTTCGAGTGCAAACTTGGGAGTTTAGTGACAGCTGCTGGTGCACTACCCGCAGCGCTTGCATTGCGGCTGGTGTAAAACGACAGTTGTCCGGTATGCAATTAAGTTAGAAATGTACTAAATTAAAACAAAGGAGCCTTGTAACAAGTCCTTGCATGTATACTGTCAGAAATTTGCTTTTATGGCATATGCCGAAAATTTTGATCTCGTTCATATATAATATAAATGCAGCGTTACTAATTTGTTATCAATCGTGTTAGAAAGCAATAAATTTCGCCCGTTTTCCACAAGGACATTTTTTCGTAGTTTGGTTTCATGCGAATTATTTGTTTTTACCTTCGTAGAAATCAAACAAAATAGATGAAGACATACTGCTTCTATCCTTTACAGTTGTGATTCCTTTTGCTCATTTTATCATGACGAGATGCATATTTTACGTTATGACGCCTGCTTCTCTAATTGTTGCCCCTCACAGCTTTCAAGAACTACGAGACTAGCACAACTGCGGACAGTACCACTTCCGTACGTAACTACGTGAAATTTTGATGCGCACGTGGAAGCGTACAATGAACAAAACAGCATTGTCAGTATAACCCACGCTTGCTTTTACTACGGTGGTTCATTGTTACTTTTAAAACGCGAATCTGCGTCCACAAAAAGTGGGACGCAGGCTATCATCGGCGCGTGGCTGTATCGATTAGAGAAAACCACGGAACATTCAATTCACTCGCGAGGGATGAAAAAAAAAAAAGGATGATGAAAATGCAACATTGTCTTCCAAAACTGCACCTTCCCAAATTTTTGTTCGCGTTTTTATTGTGATCGAATGAACAAGTGACCCACACACGAAACGCTTTGTGCAAACGAAGGCCAAAAATGACGCGTGCTGAATAAATGACGCAAAAATAGGCATTTCGCCTAAGTGTGTATAAAGGGAAAAGGCTAGTGAATAAATAATGAAAGAATCCACCGGCAACTCAGTACGAAGGAAGGTAACAGTCGCAGACAAGAAGCACAGCATGGCTGCGCCGCGCTTTCAGGCGTGCCTCCATAACTCCCGCTTACTTCCACGTGAGCGCTGCCTACTACAACGAAGTCTCTCTGCTCGTGGATTCTGGTTCGCGCTAGCAACGGGCTCACCGGGTCGTAAAATAGAACGACTGAACGGTGTGTTTGCCGAAAGAACACTTCCGCTCACGTCACCAGCGGTTGCACGCTGCCAAAATGTATACGCGTTGCGGTAATGCTTCCTTGAACGGCGACTGCTAGCTGTTGTCTTGGTCCATCGCGTTTTTCGCGCGCTTCCTTAAGCGAACGCCGAGTTTTCTTCCGTAGCGCCTGTAATGCGCTCCTCCACGCCATTTTAGGTTTTATGTTTTTGGTCGGTGGAGTTGCCAAGACTAAATGTTTAAGTGATGAACGGTGGTGTAGCTCTTACGCCGCGATCTGTGCCGCGGAAGTATTAGTGTGGAAATGAGCTCACTATAAGAGCACATTAACGGTAGGTTGGTTGGTGTGTAACTGGTGCTTACAATTTCACAGAAAGCGCTAATCAGTTACATCAGAAAACTGTATTTAAAGTATAATGAGGTTAGTAATGTGCATCATCGCGCAATCATTGTTTTATCTGTTTATTTATTATGTTGACTTGGTTCAATGTTAGGTCGAGAGTTTTCGCTTTCATAAGTGGTATTGTGCTTTTACGTGTGCCCGTCGGGCTTGTGCACAATTGTACATCTAACTCACTCCTTCCTGAACTCCAAAAAAAAAAAAGTGTGCTGCGCCCTTCGCGCCCGGTAGAACTCACTGGTCTGGGCTCTTTGACCTTTCGGACGTTTATGCTTCTGTGTTTCCAAGGACCACTGACATTAGGACTGTCACACTCCACCTTTATTATGTGTTTGGAAGGAGAAGCAACGTGAACAAAGGCTTTGGATAAAAAGCAGAAATACTCTCTTGCGTAGTAATTGTGAATAAATGTCTCGAGGTCTATCAAAAAAATTCGAAGGTTTGTTTTATTCGCAAAACTACCGAGCTATGTCTCTAAAGCCCATTACCCTATTAATTGTTTGTCACGCAAAAATGCAAGCAACTTTCCATAAACTCTTTATTACCACTTTCCTGCTTCATTTTTCTTTTTGCCGCGTAGCAAGGCAGCATGTTGCGACTCTTTATGTTGGTTTCGGGTCATTTGATTAAAGATTGCTACCTCTCTCTCTCTCTCTCTCTCTCTCTCTCTCTGTGTGTGTGTGTGTGTGTGTTTGTGTTTGTGTTAACAAGCCTCTCGTATTCTCACTGTGCTTTCTTTTTTTCCGAAACCTTCCTTCTACTTACAGTCTTCGTCATCCGGAAAAACCTCCTTCTGAAGTTGTCTGCCACGCATCTACTGAACTGCTGAGACAGAAATTCCCGTTCAACCACAATAATAACATGACGCGGCGGGAGCTGTTTTGGACCTTTCTTCCTTCACGACCAAAAGTAATAAAACCATGCTGGCCACCAGTATGGCTTCGGTTTCAATCTCTGCGCTGAAATATTCACGACTGGAGCGAGGAACGTGTTAGAAATCACCAAGCATTTTAGCGCGATGATTTGATATCGCAAATATATGTGTCAACTCCTACTTCCTTCCTTTCTCTTAACTCTTTCAGCCCTCAAGCTTTTTTTACTTTGGACGGAGAAATTTTTATGAGTGCTTTCGTCGTAGAACCAAGAAAAGCCACAACAAAAAATTGAGCCAGTGGTCCAAGTGGTTATGGATTTACAGAAATACGCAATCATAAATGCGCGAAAAGTGTGGCTGAAACGTGCTGCTAAGTGCTATAGAATGATACATGTGCCGTATAATATTTCTGCGGATGGCAACAATAAAACACAAGCAGCATCTTATTAACGCACATATACAGGTTAGTAAATACAGAGATATGACAGAAATAAGTTTCATGCAACGCTACTCAATGAGAAAAGTGCAGGACTTGACGCGAACCTCCCAAAGAGCCAACGTTTGATCTGGCAGTGAGTTTAGAGTAATTTTTTACCGTAAAAAAATTACCGCCTAAAATAAACATGATAGTATATTCAGCGTTAGGATGTCCCAAAAGTGCCGTTAGTGTGACAATTGTTTTTGATTGAGAAATCTTAATCCTAACCACATGTGAGGCTGCAGTTCCTCAGAATTACGGTCATTCTTTTTATAAGTTCGAAACGGTCGCTGCAAGACGAGGATTAAAAGATAGCAAAAACGTGAGCTTGACTGACGGACCATATTGACAGCTATAGCGAGGTTCAGCGTTGCCCTTGAACTTGTGGGCGCATCACTCAGTGCATTTCCTGCTATTGCGAACGAACAACTTTGAGGCAGCTTAAAGCCTTATAGATTTTCGCGCGACGAATACTGCCTGCAGGAGTCACGTAACGCTGACGCGTCGAGAAACCGACGGGGTTGTTTAACCCCAGAGAAAATCATACATAACGTAAGGGTAACCTGTGCTTCCCTTTTTTATTCGGACCAGCAAACACACATGCGCAGCGACACTTTCTATCACTTCTGCAGCGCAAACCAGACACACAAATGCACAACAAAAAACACAAAGACAGCACTAGCACTAATTTGTGCCGCTAAAATGCTTGAAAATTCCAGCGACTAAGTATTCCGCATCACCACTTTGACACGTAGTAGCCCGGTACTAACGTTAGTATGATGAAATCTATGTTCACGTCTGTACTACTAGCATAATATGATGAATGCAGCTGAGAACTTCCAACTGAGACGTTCAAGTGTAGTGGTTATGATTAGTTCATTACGCCTCATCGCCTCTGAAACCCAATGCACTGCGGGTGCAAGCTCTACGGAAGGAAACTGGCACGAACTAAACGAGCCCAAGAAGGCACATGAACGAACGCCTTGTATTCTTCTTGTGTTCGTCTCGCTTGCACCTTATGCCTTCCGTAAAACATGCGCCAACTACAGCCCAAGAAAAAGTTCTACTTGTACATGTGCTCACTCACGCAACCGTCGAACCCTTTGTTGCGTCACTGCCATGTCGAAAGAAATAAAACTAGAGCAGACGTGGCATATAGCCGTGTACGAGCAGACTACGACGGTTCCATTCTCGACAGCAGCACGTTTTTGCACGGTCTTGACCGACTCTCTTTTGACCGACGTGGTGTAATGAAGTGACCTTTTGAGTAAACAAGTTTAGTCAACTTTTGTCGGCATAATGTGAATGTGAACAAGAAATAACCAATTATAGTACGTTATCAATGCAATATGATTGTTATTGTAAAGCAAGAAGCCCAACGGTATTGATCACTACAAGTGGCAACACTGCCGTCATGCGTCAGTGACCCAGTAGTTTTACCACTGCGTTCTTAGGTGCTCTCCATCCTTTTCCTGTTCGCCAGGTTTGCCGAGATGGAACCGGCATTGATGTGATGAAAGGCCAGGCTTGGTTCCTGTGGTGCCGGTGACGGAAACGTTGAGCAGCGCTCTACGTCGTCGTCTACTAGTTCTAAATGCGAAGCATTTCTTTGCGAACTGCAAGCACTTTTGGCATATATCTATTCATCTATCTATAAAGCCGCGGATACGTCTTCGTGCTCTCGTGTTGATCCTCTTAACTTTGGGTAAACCAAAATTAGTACGGGAGGGTAAGTTGGTTTAACGAATGCGACTGGCGATTTCTGACATGAATAATGCCACAATTGCGTCTCGTACGCCGTCAAACAGTTTCCGTCAGACAGTGGCACATACCCTCTGGCGTGCATGTTCCAGTAATATATTGGCATTATTAGGAACTAGCAGGCAATTAGGCCAGGAAAAGTGTAACGAATGTTATTAGAAATAATGTTAATGTAAATGTGGAGAAAGGAAAGTGGACGAAAAGATTACTTGCCACCGGCAGGATCCCAACCTCAAATCTTCGACTACTGCGACCGATGCTATAACCACTGAGCTACTGTGGCGGTGATTCCTCCGTCCACTTTATAGGATATCTATTTGCATTTAAAGGCCAGAGTGCACATATATACGAAAATGTGGGTCGTGAACATTTAGAGAGCAGGAATTATGCAAATTCAAGATAAAAAATTAGGAAACAAGCTTGCAAGTTTGGACAACGGCCCCTTAAAGAAATTACTAGAGCCACGGGTAGAAATGCATTTTCAGAAAAAGGGGAGCATCTTTCTGAAACACTTCATAGTAAATAACAAACAGTAGAATCACTTGTAATATATATATATATATATATATATATATATATATATATATATATATATATATATATATACAGCTATGTGTGTTGATCAATGAGGAACGATGCGTTGGTTCATACTATGCGCAGAACTAGATAGGCGGGCGTGCGAACGTCAATGTCTGCGTGCAAACTGTACATTACCATGGTATATTAACTTGTTTCAGTGCGGCAGTATGTTTTCCTTTGGCTGATAACTTTTCATTTGTGGCAACCTTTGCTATTTATTCATTTATTTTTGCTGCAGAACTTATATTTGCATGTAGGCGCCGTTATATGAACCTCAGCCTCTTCAAGACAATTGCAACACAACAGAACAGGATGCACCGCAATAGTATTATACTCGTTTTTTAATATAGAGTGTATACGTAATAAATGTAAATTAGTGCTCGCAAGACACAAAGACTTGCACAAAATTAACCGGTCACTGGCAAATGGAATTGTGATAACAAAGAAAGACTCCGTGATAGCTGAAGGAAATGACGTTGACAGTCACTCATGAAAAGCGCACATTCTACGGTACGACGTTTGGCATTGTACAATAGAGGTGCCGTTAATTTGCCAAGTAACTGACTAACATACGAAAAGCGATCGACAGGATGACTTCAGGGCAGATACGTGGTTTCTGAGTTCTCGATCTCCGGGATCCGGGAGGCCCGAGGAAGGGCTTTCTGCTGCGCACACTGATCAGCTTACGCATACAACAGCGAAGAAATAATGCTGGTTCTCAGCAGGATATCCGAGTACATCACTTGTATTCCATCCTCTCGACGAACTCGGGGAACCCTGCAGTTGTTCCTACACGAAAAACAAACTGATGAGCCAGTAAATGACATACAAGACGGACACTAGGGACAAGTACGATGTTTACGATTTCCTCCTCCATCCTTCTTTCGCCCTGATTTCGGATAGCGATCATTTTTTTTCTTTATTTGCTTGTCACTCTGCAAACCAAGACAAACGACAAACAGGGAATGGAATTGGTCAGGCCGTGTTATGGGCGTTTTGTGCGGATAACCAATGGTCTGGTGGAGTAACAGAATCAATACCAAGGGTAAAAAAACGATGTTGCGGATGGCAGTGGAGATCGATGGATGATGAGATTACGAAGCTCGTCGACATATAAGCTTTTTTTTCGGTTCGCGTAGTATAATTGAACATTTATCTTTAATACTATCGCCTTATAGGGAACTTGGGGGGCAGAACAAGATGGGAGTGATTGCAAGTAAGGGTAAGCTTTCTCTATCGATGAAGTTTTATTTATCACATATTTCATTTATTCTCTTTGTTTTTGTCATGAATGACTATGTGGGCTTTAACTACGTAAATTTTTGACATTTCTCAATTTACTGCTTCTGTACAGCGTGCGATCAAGAAAATATTTTCTTTGTTTCGGTACGCACTATCCTCAGCAGGACAACCCCGATATTTTTTTGCTTGACGCTTTCTTTGTAACTTATATATTGCGAAAGTTGTGGAGGTGTTGGATTAGAGAGAATGAGGGTATTATGAGATAGAAGAACAATATGTGTTTATTAGGCACTCGATTTAGGAGGAACTTTGTTTACTTCTTCACTGTGGCGGAAATCGCTTTAATTGATTGAGTAAGCTATTTCGTTGTCACAGTCTTGGAAATGTTAGCAATGTTACGCAGCGACCTTAGTTCACTGAAAATCGAGGTAATAAAAGAAATGAAGGTATAAAATCAGTGAAACCACCTTGACGTTACGATTTCACCGCAAGGGCAAAGCGATATGCCATAGCAACAAATTGTATGCAGTTTTGTAATTAGGATGTGCGCTGAAAACTCCACTTTCGCACCAACACTTCTTTAGGGCGTCGAGAAAGTCTTCGTGAATACAATACAGAATGTTGTAACTTTGGAATAGAATATATCATCATTAACAATCAATAAGGCTTTGCTAAAGGAGAAATTGAAGTACCTCTGTGGCCCCGCCAAAGACAGATTCTGGTTGGAGCTATGAACTCCTACGTATATACCAAGCCAAAAAATTATCTGCGAGAAAATAACTAAAAATAAAGCAACGCCATTACTTCATCGATGTAAAACTAGTCTTTCATAGCTTTACTCATCAGTATGATATTTATTGTGCATATAGAATGACCATCAAGGAAAGAACAGCGCTCTCGTCCCCAAAAATAAGTAGAATAACATTAAAGGAAATGCTGCACTGGCAATAAGTCTCCGGCCATGCAACAATTTTCTGCCGCTGCCCGTTAACAAACCTCAGGGGAGTGTGTGACCGT